CATTTCAGTGATCAATTCGTTTAATACGGGAAGCGATCACAGTATGGTAAGAGGCGCATTGAATCTAAACGTAAAGCCGAACGGTATCGACTGGTGAAGTCTACGCTCCCTCCTGAAGCCACCCCAGCCACGCTCGTCGGCAACTCAATAGCCAGATCTCGAAGTCTCTCAAACGCGACATACGCCAATTTAATACTCAATGGATTAAGGAGGTGATTGAGCGGAACAAAGGCTCCAAAGTGTTCACAAGAGATCTGTCTCTAGGTCAGAGCTTGCTGACGAAGCTGAAGACGGAGGACGGCAGAGTCGTTACATCCCGTCCTGAGCATGTGGCGTTTTTATAAACATTTTTATAAACACTTCATACAAACCACAAAGAAATAAATTTTAAAATCCAAACCTAACTTGATCAAATGATCAGGTCTGCATAAAATCGGCGACCTCACCTTTTCCTTAGAACACACTGTGAAACCGGAGTATTCAGCTCATTTGTAATATAACAAGAATAAGCTACTGGTAACACTGCAAGTACGATATCTACCTTTGCACAGAACCTAAAATGCTCGGTTTCGAATATATCTATACTAATATTATAATGCGGAAAGATTTGATTGCTTGTTTGTTTGCATTTCATAGGCTCCAAAACTATGGGATCGATTTTAAAATATCTTATACTTGCAAGCAGCTACATCATACGACTCGACTTATTATTGATTTACAAAGTCGCGGAATAGCTAGCTTTATAAATCGTGCATAAAGTTGGTAGTCACTAAAACCATCAATTTGGCCATATACCGATACCAACCAATATTTTTTTCTTCACCTCGGTTAATGCCTATTAACCTAATTACTTTTAGCGATGAAACCTTTTACCATAAATGTGCAGAACATAAAATGTCTATAGCAATAAAATTAATGTTGTTGTTATTTGGTTTCTGAGATCAGGTATAAACCTCAGAATAAATACTACAGATACAAATCATAAAAATTAAAAAAAAATGCGTTTGAGACATGTTCATGATTAAAATATCTAAATAAAATTAAAAATTCGTTTCAATGATTAAATTCAGCAAATATTAAATAAAACGATACAAAAAATATATAAACTGAGAAGGATGAAATAAACAAACGCAGTTTCAAAGGTTCTGGTTAAGTTCGGGTTGATTTTCAGTCAGACTAGAAGATAATACTTAGACATCTGGAACTTATAAAAATAAAATGATATTTTAAACATTATTTATTTAAATAGGTCTAATGGTTAATTGCACAAACATCCATTTAGGTTTAATGACGCCCTTAAGCTCTAATGAATGTCAAACGTGTATGGTTAATGAGAATTTTAATGGACTTTTGTGCAACTGACAGTAAGTGTTTTAGTAAATTTTATTTATTTTAATTTTATTTGTTTTAATAAGATTTTGCAGTATAACAGATATGGTTCCAATACTGTTGTACCATGAAACTAAAAAGATCAAATTATAATTTGGCTTTGTTTTAACTTTATTTCTTAGTCACAAATCAGAGAAATATAAATTTCACTTCTCTTACTTATGTAAAAGGGCCGTCATTATAACTCATCAAAGCTGTGCCAAAGTCGTTCCAAAGCAAGGAGAATTTTATTAATTATGACAAACGAGATTAGACATTTATTCATAATAATATACTTAAGTAAAGACTCGACTTATTACTGTTTCATAAAAAGATTATTATATTTTTTAACCGACTTCAAAATCTAAAAGGTTTAATGTCCGACGGCGATGTATGGTTTTTTTATGTATGTTCACAGATATTTCCGTCAATTGTTGATCGATTTTGAAAATCCTTTTTTTATTGACAAATCGACAGCTTAATGGATCGATGTGGTCCCATCTAAATTTTATCGAAATCGAAATAGTAGTATCATTTCTATAAAGTTTGAAGTCGGTTCTATTTAATTTTAAAAGCTTTCCGCCAGCGGTTTCACCCACGTGGTCTTGTATTATACATAAAAAAAATCCTATTGAATCACCCTATCTATGAAAAAAAAATCGCATTAAAATCCGTTGCGTAGTATTAAATATTTAAGCATACATAGGGATAAAGGGTGAGAGTAAGCGACTTTGTTTTATACTATGTAGTGAAGTTTTATTTTGAAAACAGCAATCTCGACGATTTTGTGGCAAACGGCATTTCCCGGTGGCTCCACATAATGAAGATAAAAGCGTTGGCGCAAATATTTTTCTTTAATTATAAATTGAACATACGGCACTAAAAACCCATTATAAGCCCCTCGCATAAGAATCCACTATAATTATACTTCTGTATACAATTATTCTAATTTACTCATGCAATGGACTTCATTTTGAAGTAGGCAGTTACGGAACGATGTTTATCTCCCGAGATAGATTATAAAACGTAGCAATTTCCGCTGGAGCGTGGATTATGGTTAATTATTCAAAGTATGTAACCCAAGTGCGAGACGGGGTCTCACTACCGAGATTCTAATTCTCCAAAAACCCAGATACCGATGTGTATATTTGCCAATAACATATCTATCGTCTTGTTTGCTGTTAATTACTACTTTTCAGATACTGTTTTACTATGTGCTAATGTTTATTCAGCATCTTCTGGAATCTATACTACTGGTTCGGGTTTTTCAACATCTTCGCGTCCTTCTGTTTGGATATTGTCACGGTGGCGCAAATAGAAAGCAGTGCTTCGCAAGAGGACATCATGATGTATCTCAGATTGGTGCCGTTTTTCACTTATATGCCATTAAGTACGCCCTTTTTTCAATTTTAATAAGATTAAAAAAAATATCTTTGTCGATATGATCTACACTTAGGTATATATAAAGGAGGTAAAGTTTCTAATATTTTTTTTTGTAATAATCTTTGGAAATACTTATCCGATGATGAAAAAACCTGCAAGAAGCTACATCATATGCAGTTGAAATAGGTTATAATTTATTTATGCGGGCGAAGTCGTAGTATCACAGCTAGTAATAAATGTAAAAATAAATAAATATTAGATTATAAATAAATAGACCAGAAATAAATAGAAAACCGAGACCGAGAGACGTTATAGAAAAGTTCATTTTCACCCAGTTGTAGTTGTATCAATATTTCCACCATAAATTTCTTTCTCTTTTTTGCCTTTGTCTAATAGAGTATTAATAAAATTTAGTCTTATCAGTATCATCTTATGTGAACTAAGAAGAACGTCGCATCATTATTTTTTTTGTAAGTTTAGAAAGAAAGTTCATACTTCATCCCATTCTTTTTTAGGATGCCGTAGTAATCCATGTCTGTCTGTCCGTCCGTCCGTCGGTCCATTATACACGTTAATTACGCCGACAAAGTGGTAAAGTAAAATTTTGAAAAAACTAAATTTTTAAGGTACCGCCGTACATGTAAAGTGTGAATGATTATTTGTTTCTTTGTCTTCCTCATAGTGTGGGACATCATTAGATTGGTCCTACAAAAACATAGGGATGTGAGGAGGCCGTTTTTCTATTTAGTTATAAAGCTAATTCTCGTTAGAGTCACGTGTCGTCCCTCTACCAACTAAACAGTCATTGATAAAAATTCAAACGTTGCGACAGTAGTACATATATATAACGAAGTTAAAAGGAAAACTATCACACTTAAATTGGCGTTAGAAGTTTACGAGTAATGATCAATGTTGTTTTTAACGCGAATATTTCGAACAACGCCAGAGAAAACAACAAATTCGTTTTTTTTAACTTTGTCTTTGGCCGGTTTTAAATTTAGATTTCTTAAGTAGACAGTTTTAAGCGACCTCAAAAAAGGAGATTCTCTGTTTGATCTGTAAATGTGTATGTTTGTGCGTATATGTATGTATGTTTGTGTGCGATTATCTCGCATTTCGCTAAACCGAGTTTGGTGCGGTTTTCAGAAAAGTATTTTTAGTGTTACTTATTACATAAAAAACAATATCACTTAAAAGGATGAAATTAAAACAAAAATATAGAACCGACTTCAAACTTAAAAAAGGGAAAAATAATACTTATCTCAAAAGTGACCTATTAAAAAAATGCTATATATGTGTGTTTGTTTATGTATTTATACATGTATATTCAATTACTATAATGTGTTAGGTACTGGTAATAGTGTGATAAAATTTTTAAGAAGATACAAGCTTTTTTACGACTCTACTCTGAAAATCGTTTGTACACGTTAACATTTGCCACTTGGACAAACACAAACTTTCTTGTCTCCAGGCCTTACAAAAACTTATAAGATGAATCGTGACCCAACGATTTACAAGAACATGATAAGTGAACTAAGGGAGATGTTTCCTCGAGGACCTGTCACTGCTGAAGAGTATAAGATTGTCAGAATTGCTCTGAGACAACTTAACTTCGTTAATAAAGGTGCTCTGTATTTCTGTATGTCATAGACTTATTCCTTTGTAATTTTTAATTAATCCCATTTTAGTTTTTGAAAATTCAAATTACGAAGAATTTAAATTGGTTGTTACAAATCATATATCATTTAAAGCACAACATCGACGATAAAATAAAATTTATTGGAATAAGAAGTCTGTATTCAAGTTTCTAATTACAAAAACAAAACGCGCTTAAAAGTTCTTGAATATTAAGGAGAACTAATTGAAGAAATTTAGTTACTTTATTGTTAGAAATGTATTTGGCACTCTTGATTTGAAGGTCTAGCTGCTATTAGCTTGCAGTTGGTCGCTCACAGTTCCTAGAAATATTCGTGAGTAGGTATTATTGTTCAAAAAAATTTGTTGCATAAAATAAATATCTTTAATGTGTATTACCGAGTTACGTATACCCTTATTACTTCATCATACTAATATATTAAGCTTTCGAAAGCTCTTGCACATTTTTATCACGATCTCTCCATCTATAAGTTCCCTCAACATTTAGTTAATTTCAACTGATTATCTATTTATTTCCAGGATATTATTGGACGAGCAACGTAGGTCTGACTCTTTTTTTTCTCGGGTGGTATATGAAGGGAATACAATGGGCTATGGGCTATAATGTGCCAGCGATTCTGCCTTTCGAGTATTGGTTGCCCTTCGATCCAACGCAGAGCGTCTCATGCTACATGACAATGTTAACTTTACAGGCTTGGCAAGGTAATTATTAGTAAATAAAATAAATGTTAGACAATACAACGCTCAGATGAGAAGTCACAGCCCTCGTATTCAAAATAGTTTAATAGTCTAGCAACCTAAGCAAACCTTATTTTGTTATTATGTTCCTAAGGAGGATCAGAACCACCCGACACAAGCGCTTTTTAGGCACTTCCTGGGTGATTCTGGCCACATTACTGTTATATGTATGCAATTTAAGGAAATAAACTATTTTTAATTTTTATTTTATTTATTTATTCGTATTATGGTGTATCTGAGTCAACGAAGTTACAACAATTTTTCTGGTAATATGAAAAGTATGAAACCCAAATGCGAGAGAGAGCTCACTATCGAGATGCAAATTCTCCAGAATCTCAGATACCGATGTGTACATTCGACAATAACATATTTATTGTCTGGTACTCAGTATTTTTAAGCCAACTTTAAAATAAAAAATGTGGTTATATGTTCGGCGGCGATGTTTGTTTTCGTATGTTCGTCGATTTTCCGACAATTGATAAATAATTTTGAAAATTATTTTTTTTATTCGTCAATTGAATGGACCGAGGTGGTCCCATTTAAATTTTATCAAAATCGGGTAGTCTCAGGGGGCTATTACGAAGCCCAAATAGATCGTTCATATCGGAGAACTATCTTTAAAATAACACTGCAGGCCAATGAAGACATATTCCATTTTATTACTTTTCATACGAAAATATAACGAGATGAGCGTGATGTCGCCGGATGTCTTCGACGACCGACTCCTCGACGATCGGAAACAGAATGTGTGCCAAAATGGCGGCAACTTACTTTTCGTTAACAAACTGTCAAAGTCATCGATAAAAGTATCGATGATCACGCCCTCTCTACAATCGAGTAATTAAGTAATCGAGTAACTAGCAATTAAAAAACTAAATCAAACGATCTTCGTAACGATGATGGAAATATTCTGGACATATACATATAGAAAAGTCCATTTTCTATATTAACCCTCAAGTAAAAAAAAAAGAATTCGTTTCATCGATTTTATTCGTTGTGGCACGATGCTAATTAGTATCATTTAGATGTGAGGACACCCTTAGAGATTAGACAACTCGTTTAATGTACCTAAAGGCGATTATCCCAAAGAAGGAGGCCCTGCGAATTCCTCTATTGATCTTGCCATTAAATCTTTACTTTTATCTTGTATAGACAAAGAAACTTGATAGAAATATATCCCAGTGATATATAATTAATTATGGCTTAGCCACCGGCTCGCCAAATTGAAACTAATCATAATACCTACTTTGTTATAGTCTTATCGTGAGCTCTTAAATGCATTGTTATGGGCGTTTAATCTTTAAAAATAATTAAGCATGTCTCTTAGACTCGTATATTTTTACAATTGATTATACAGGGAACGTAACCACAATTAGATAGCAATTATTGAGTAATAAATAACTAGCAATTCGGTAATAATTTATTGATTAAGCATTTTGATCGTTATAACAATGCATTGCACCATTCTTCAACCAACTTCACGCTTAAATATCCACGCAAAGCCGAAACTACTATACCTAGAAATTTGGTACAGGGTTTTTTTCTCGTGACGTAATTGAGTACTAAGAAAGGATTTTTATTAATTCATCTTCTAAAGGGTGGAATAGAGCTGAGAAGGTTATATGGACCACGCAGCCGCTAGTGAAAAGCTAGTTAAAAGTAAAAGGGCCTAATAGTACAGTCCCTGTTGTTTGTTTCAGCTATAGTCACCATCTGGTTATCTATGGGCGGCGACTTGCTGATATGCACAATTTTAAATCACATCACTTTGCAGTACGATCTTCTTGCAGCAAAAATCACGAAGCTTAAATATCTACCAATCGTTAGACAGGGTGATCCAAAACATACTTTCGGTGAGTTTGTTTATATATAAGTATAATTGAAATTTTATTAATTTTTTATGAAAGACGAAACCATTAATTCTTATCATGTGATCTATTGCTATGGCAAAAGTCCATGGCTTCGTGATACTATTGTAGCGTTGATTACTCTTATTATCGGCATTCATTGCTGATCTATAATAAGTATTCAATAAACTACGATTCACTATGCACTAGTATCTATGCGAATAAAATACGAGTAAGATTAAATGTTTTACTATAGGTATCAAACATATTACACCATCAGTATGTCTGAATATAGAAAGCGATAATAATCCAATTATGAACCACAGTATTTTATATCAACATTAGAAATAATAGTTATGAATTTGTTTTTAGACTTCGTAAGTTCAACATAAGCCCTTTTACGTCCCTACTGCAGGGGCTCAGGCCTTCCTTATGGATGGTTAAGAAGGATGGGCCATGACCCTCCACGCTGGCCCAATGCGGATCGGAGGGTATTAAAGACTGCAAATGCAGCCGGGACCAACGGCTTAACGTGCCTTCTGAAGCACGGAGTAGCTCGAGATAAAATATTTTTTTTTGGTCACCCATCCCGTGACCGACCCTTGCGAAAGTTGCTTTACGACAACGATCGCGTTTATCCATTACGCCACCGAGCTACCTCGTAAGTTATTGTTAGCTTAATCTACTAAAGTGATATTGTAGTAACCAATAAAATTTTAAGAAAGACTTGCCTAAGGCGTCTTACGTTGTTCTTTAAATATGAAGATACAAATTTTCTGGTATAAATCTGGTTTTAACAAATAAAAGAATTTGTTTTATTTTTATAGGAATGTACAATTCAAGATATCTCCGAAATGAAGAAATGGTATTAAAGTCACTTTCAAACAAAAAGTCGGAAGAACGCTCTCAGACAGAACTGAAGGCTATTATTCAAAGACATCATGCTTTAATAAGGTAAAATTTTTAAAAATAAATATATGTAACTAGTTAAATTAGCTAGCTATCAGAGATTGTGAACTATTCTATACGAAATCTCCAACCCACTTCAATATAATTTTAATGCATATGTTCATGAACCGCCTTTTAAATGACTATTTTTTTTTTTCAAAACCGTTATCGTTATTTTGGTCACAGGCTATCTGGAGATGTCGAAGATATTTTTAGTTTCCCAATACTCATTCATTTCTTCGGTAGTTCCATCATAATATGTTTCTGTACATTTTGCAGTGCCGTAAGTACTATGTATTTATATTTTTACTAATCGATTACATTTTTTTGCACGATAAGATTAGACAAGATTCAAAATTACGAAATTCAGTGAATGTCCTCCAGGCATTCATTGCCATCTTTATTGCCTTAATTCTCTTACCTACACCTAAGTATCATATTTATATGCATTTTCAGCTAGTGGAAAAGTGGAACGAATTCGCGTACAAAAGCTTCCTATCTATAGCATTGTCGGAATCTTTACTTTTATGTTGGCATGGACAAAAACTTATTGACTCGGTATGTATAGAGAAACTTTCTATATAAAATGTATAAAATAGATATTGAAACAGCATCGTGAATAGCATCCCAATTTTTTAATAGAATAACTATTATACTATATTGTGATCCACATATTTGTCAACTGTCTTTTTTAAAAAATACAGTCACAAGAAGAAAATTTATATTCTTATTTGATAAATAAAAGGGTCTTACTTTTTTTTTCCATTCAGAAAAGTAGTCGTCGATAGTCATTTCCGTTCCTTTTATATTTAAAATATTAAGAAACTGAAATTTGCAAAGTTCAAAACTTAGATTTCAATACAAATAGGAAAAAGTAGTAATAGAATATGAGTTGTTTAATTAGTTTTGAAAACTAATTTTTATACATGAAAGAAAATGGGAAGGGTTGTCATGGAGAAATCAAGAATGTACCGTAGTGACATCTAGTTTGATTTCGGGAACTAATGTTTTCTTTTTAAATACTTCCTCATTCTTATACTATACTGCTTTAAAAATATACCCTGAGATGAACTCGAACCTACGAACTTTCGCTATCGGGCGATTGTTCTAGCCACCGAGCTACTAGGGTACCCAACAGGACTTATGAATTTTTAAGCACTTTTTATTTTTCGCTACTATAGAGCGTATTTTCATCGACATTCAGGCAATTCACCCAAACAGTCGAAAGAAATATTTTAAAAAGTTTAAAATATTTCTTTTAAATTGAAAATTTTATTTTCTTATTATTTTATAAATTTTGCATTCATAATCCTGTACTGGTTAAATATTCTTAATGAAATTTTCGCCAATCCTGTTGGGTCTAGGGTAGCTCAGTTGTTAGCGAAGTCGCGCGGGGTCTCAGGGTAAACGAGGCTGGTGGATTTTTTAAGCATTTTTCGTGCATGCATAGCATTGTGATTCTATACTTCATTTTGATTTCAAATTAAGAAATAATTAACCCTACCTTCATAGGTTTGTCGTCTAACATTTTTTCATAAATGTATCGAAATAGTTTTATTTATAGAGCTTCGGCATTTCGAAGGCTGTTTTCAATAGTGGATGGTACACAGCATCGTCAAAAATCAAAAGGTCTTTACTCATTATGACTATAAGGTAAGCAAATATTTGGTGAAAAATGATTGAAAAATTTGCGTATTCATTTCATTTTACAGCTAAAAGTTTTAAGGTAACACTTGATGAATCAGAAATTTAATTATGTACTTTTATTTGTTTTTTAGAGCTCAAAAGCCATTGCATATCACCACCTATGGATTTTCAGTTCTATCTTTAACGACGTATGCTGCGGTAATTTATTTTTATAATGATAATTGAAACTTTTTAGAAAGCTAAGCGTAGGGCAAACAGCGTGGCAGGTTTTAAACCTTAATTCAATAAGGGTAGAGTTCAAAATCTACTCCGGTGATATATGGTGTTAACCTGAGGCGCTGTTGTGTTTACCTCAAATCTTAAATATTTCATCATTTTCAATAAGATAAATAAGGTATAATAATATATTTTTAAATACCGATTTTACTGAGCGATTTGAATGTTACAATTATTTTATAATTAGGTATTTATACCTACAATTAGACCGTGTACAATTATATTAAGTACGCTTTCATTTAAAAGCACTTTTATATACGGCTTGGACTATATACAGAAAAGGATAGGCCGCCCCTGCCCTTTTTTGAGCAACCGCCAAATGTTAGAGCGAAAATAGCAAAAGCGAAGGTATGCCTGCCTGGCGACGGATTCCTCGGTGCGATGCCTAAACTCTATCGGTCTCCCTCTAGCATTTGCTATATGAGTATCAGAAAAGAAAGGCCGTCAGTGTGTTGTCAAATGCAGCTCAACTCTTTGTTGCGCGATTGTGACATTCACGATAGCCACGCGCTACAGTAGCACGACTAAAAATACTATCTTTTAAGAAAACAATCCCAACCCAAGTGTCTATTTGACGGTAGTTATGATTTATGTTTTAATTAATTAATCTTAATCTAATATGTAATAAAACTTTGTTTCTATTACAGTTAATGAGAAATGCGTGGTCATATTTTACACTTCTTCTCAATCTGTACAAAAAGTAAAACTTTCTCTCGACAGTAATAAAGCATGGATACATTTTATATTAAATTTATGATGCACCTAATAGTTTGTTAAATTTAAGCATACATTTTTGTGGTTTATCTTTAAATTTAAATAGGTATTTTATGAATGAATGTTATAAGTACGAGTAACACGAATATTCGAATACTAGTAAACTTGATTACTTTTTCAAGTTTATGTTAATGTTTATTAATGTATAATCGGTCATTTAAGCCATATAATTATGACGTGGCATATTTAAGCTAAGAACTAAAAATACCAATTATTTGTTTCTTACTTCATTTGTATACTAAAGAAGCTCTTTATTTTTAATATGATGTATTTTTTAATATTGTGGTACACCCAATTGGAAAAAATATCTAGTATATTGTATTTTCATCTAGATTTATGTAGTAAACTTAAAAGTAATTAACTTAACTGATAGGAAGGGTAGGAAATATTACATTTAGACCTGAATTGCATTCTTGTAACTAACCTCAAAATGCTCTCTATAAGTTTTCTGGGTATGGATATTCGAATAAACTTGATTTGAATATTGTTGATACTCAAAAACTGTATTGGAGGATTTTGTATCCAAATTCAATATTTTATTAACTAGAGTACGTACTGGGTATTTGAGTCAGTACTCGAATCGGTCTGATTCGGCGCATCTCTACATTCGTTATTTGTTGCTCTGTACTGTACTGTCATCGGTCTGTCAGTCAATTGTAATTTTTCGTCCGTTTCCTTGTGTTTCGGAATTATTGTGTCGGCTTCAAAATGTCCAACAAAAGAAATAAGGATATTCAACATGAGGAGAGTGATAGTGAGGAAGACCAAGGCTCTGGAAGCGAACATGATTCCGACTTTGATTCGGATGGAAATTTCGTCGGTGATAAAGTAAGTCTAAATAAGACGAACGAGAAATATAACCTAGATTATCACATGGCATTATATGACAAATATCAACAAAATCGATTCACAACTCATGCCTATGTCTATTTTCTTGAATTTACAAAGACACGTTTATTCAGTATAATTAGAATCAGTTCGACAATGAGTCGTTAAATCTAATATTTATTCACACTCTGTTTCTGAATTGAGTATTAAAAGTAAAACGCGTCTCTTACTGTACTTAAACAGGTTACCGTTTCTGATTTTATTTTTTTTAATGATCAATTTCATAAAACAGTTTCATAAACACCAAAATTTTTGACTTGTGAAAAGTAAAAATTTAGAAACTGGTTATTAGTAAGTTAACTTTTGAGAATGTTTAAATTGTTAAATGAACTAGCTAGCAAGCATAGAACATCGAAAATCTTTATATTGTTTTATTTCAAAATAATATAATTTAAACTATCATAGATTTTTCAGATCTTTGCTAATGGTTGTGTATATAATGTAAATAAAAACAAACTTATTATACTTAAATAAAAAAATTCTGAACATTACAAATTAATCTTCTATTAATTTTGACTGAACAGAAGAAAGCTTTTTTTTTTCTTCATTAAAATGATTGATATAATTTTATTATTTCATTACAATTTCTACTTTGACAAAAATCAAATATAAAAAGGTAATAAAAACCTACTTTGAATAAATTATGGCAATAATGCATCCTCATATTATATAAATCTAGATTCACAAACAACTTTAATCAGTTTCACACTTGCAATTTCAGGAGTTGCAAGCAGATTTTGAAGGCAGAAATCCAGAAGACTGTGATTTTCATGGTATCAAGCAATTGCTCCGCCAATTGTTTTTAAAATCCAGTGTTGATTTAGGTGCTTTAGCAGAAATTATTATTTGTAAGTTAATTTTAATTGTCATAATTCTGTATATCCCATTTTACACAAACTATGGAAAATTACATTGTTATTTTTAAAAATAATAAAGATTTATAAAATAATCATATAATTTTAATTCTTATGTTTTTTTTTCTAGCACAAAACTACATTGGTAGTGTTGTAAAGCAGTGTTTGGATGATGGACAAGAAGATGATGATGATGAAGATGATGGCAGTGATGGAGTGTTTGGGATCACCACTATAATTAATATAACAAAAAGAAAAGTAAGATTCAAAGTAAATTTAAAGATATTTATAATTGGAAGTGTATTGATAAATAATACTTAATTTTGCCATTGTATGTACTATCTACCTAAACAACAATATGTAGTACAATCCTCAAATCAATGATGACAGATGTATTATTTTGTGATCTAGTAAAATCATCGGTAGAAACCGTCTAACTGAGAAACAGAAAAGTTAAGCAATCTATGTTAATATTATATAAATAAAAACATTCCGTCATAGACACAAATTCATAAAAAATTACTTTTTATTCTACATTGCTTTTTATTGTGTTTTCAGGATGAAAAATGCATAGAACAAATTAGGAATTTATTGACAACCCTAGCAGAAGACAATGCCAATGACAAAACAAAAGCATTGATTAAAAATATTTTAACAGATGAATCTAATCAAGTAGGACTTGTTATAAATGAAAGGTAAATAAAACAAAATCTTGATTAAAAATACTTAAAGGTGTGTATGTATAAAAAAAATATTTTTTATAGAATCCTGAACATTCCAGCTGCAATAAGTGTTCCACTGTTCTCATCACTGCAATCTGAATTAGATAAGGCAGTAAGGAAGAATATGCCATACACATTCCAGTACCTTATCTGGATATGCAAAACATACAACACTGGAGGTTCGTACTTATTAAATAAGTAGATAATTTTTTATTGTTTATAAATGCTCATAGAAAGAATAATGTGGATTAGACATTTTTCTGTAAAGTATTTCCAAAATCAAAATTGTTAATGTTGGTTCACATTATACTACCCAATACAAAATTAAATGTAATGTATTAATTAAACTACTGAAACTTGTATAAAATGTACTATTAATGTACCTATATTGGATCATTATTTTTGAAATATTTTCCCACTTATATTCCAGATAAACAATGATTCCAGAAAAAATGATTAATAAATGTTTCAGATCAATGCAACTAATTGAACCTAACTGCTTTAATCCCTGAGAATGGTGATTTAAACAGGATTTAGTTATTTTATTGACAATAATGACTATTTTAATATTTCTCATAGTTTTGATATCTTGATATACCTATTGAGAGTATAGCAAGTTGAGATTTTTGATGTTTACATATTTTTGGGTAACAATTAAAGTTACTGAAAGCTGCAACCTGATGAGTTATGATTTCATCTTATTTCACAATGTTTAACTGAAAAATACTGCTTCAGTTCTGATAAGAATAAACAGGACATTAATGAGATGTTTATTAATTTAGAAGTGTTTTATAACAATCTATATTCTTGTAATAATCCATGTGTGTTTATGTAATAAAACATTAATCTCTTGAACAGAGCAATCATCAGAAGTGTTATTTGCTAACCAAGAAGAGAAACCTATAGCTGATGAGGCCCTAGCTAGTTTCGACGTAGATGTAACAGAACAAGCTGATCTCTCACAGTGGGATTATGAAGGAGGAGCACTTACACCATGTAGGAAGGTAACTAAAACCTGCATATTACCTATTACTCATATTTTCTTAAAATATCGGCGTGCCGTACTGGGCACACAATCAGCTGATAAGCGTGATGGTTCAGTGCATATCAATGTAAAATCTGTCAAGCGTCTCACGAATGTAGGTATTACTACTACTTATAACTTTTAACACTTTTATCTTTGTGCATTTACAAAACTGAACCTCTAGTGTTATAAAGAGGAATGTTTAAATTGTTTATTGCTTTTATCGAATAGGCTACGTAACTTCAGGACTGAAGCTACATCATACACAGGTGACATAGGTTATAATTTATGCGGGCGAAGTCGCGACAAAACAAGTATTAAAATAGCGGTAATAAAAAATAACTATGTCGAAAAGATATTTTACTGTCATATTAGCAGCACTTTTTGTGCCAGTTATTTGGATACTCATTCACATTTAACTAATTTTTATTTCAGGTTCTTATTTTCGATGGTTCAAAGTTGAATAATTTAATTAGACTCATAAAGGAAGAAGTCGAGGCTGTATAATCGTGTACTACTGTGTTACTGAACTACCGCGACATTATATGCCATTCAATACATTGTATTTATATTTTATTATCACCTAATATAAGCTTTACATTTAAATAGTTTTATTTGTGTTGAAACTACCCCTAATTCTACTATCAATTATACAAATGAAATTTACGTTATATAGTTAAAAGGTTTATTAGTCAAAATTATAAATGAAAATACATGATTAGGTCACAAAATAGCCTAAAATCTAAAGTATTCAAATATATTTGTGTAATCACACATTCTTGTAGATATTCAAAGCATCTCTCATCATAAAATCTCTCAAGGCGCATAGGCCTTTTAATATTTTAGTGTTGTTGTCCATCTTCTGTATATCTGTTTCTGAAAGACTTTTATCTTGGGCCAAGTAGCCGCTGACCGCTTCTTCAGTCATCCAATGAGCTGGGAGCTTGTGCATGTTGTACTGCGCTGGATCGGGGTTTAGCGGCATCGGTGTTAAGGATTTCTCCCATGGAGTGATGTATTTTTGCTCAGAGTGCAATCCCTCTATGTACCTAGAAAGTTAGGAAAAAATATTATTTTAATGATAACCATAATTGTATAACAACTTTGTAATATAGAAGAGTCTGAAGTAAATGTCAACTATCTCTGTGTATTTTATTGAAATACCAATATTTTTTTAAGTTATTTTAACTCATTAATGTCTAATGATGATAATATGCGAGTGGTTTTTAAATCTCAATTTTTTTTCCAATATATAGGGTACTATTATTAAAAATCTAACACAAAAAATCTTATATGCTTAAAAATCTAACACTAATCTAGATTTTTAAGCATATTTCATTAAGAATATTGTGTATTTAAAGTTAAGCATGTCTCAAACTGTACTTAAATACCACTTAAAATGGTAATTTTTTTAAATAATCGATCAGTTGATAGCAGTTTGATAAAAACTAGTACTATTTTTCTTCTGAAACCGGCCGATAGTATTCTAACTATTAACAGTTCTTATTTATTAGGTAAAAATACCTGCTTAAATTATAACATATTCTCTAGTAATAACTTCTATCCAGAGTTCTCTGATAAATATCAAAAGATATATATCAACTCATAATATTGATTATTATGAGTTGATATATATCTTTCGACGAAGACGACCTCCGTAGCCGAGTGGTTCGCACGCCGGTTTCAAGGTGTCGCCATCTCTGAGGTCCCGGGTTCGATTCCCGGTTGGGTCAATGTAGAAAATAAACTTTTCTATATTGACTCGGGTCTGGGTGTTGTGGTACCTTCGTTGTCTCAGATATTCCATAATACGGGGGCTTTAGCTACTCATCTTGGAATCTGAGCAATGTATGTGGTGTTGTTAAATATTTATTTATTTATTTATTATTAGTTTGAGTATTAAGTCTCAGCTCGAAAACCTCTCTCCGACCGATGTGACGCTGCCACATTGGCCCGAAGTAGCAATGTTACTCACTAGAAATTTCGAAATATTAAAAGATCAAATATTAAATAAAGCCACTAGTAGCTTAAAAAACGCAGTTCTCTATATGCATGACATATATAAATATCCGATATTTGATATATCTGATATTAATTATAAATATCGGATATATGTGAACCCTGCAAGTAATGTATTGTACTGACTGACCGTATGTACGCCTCCGAGTGCGTGACCCGCTGCGCGCGCGGCGGCGCGGTCACGAATAGCGGCTCGAGGCCGTGCCGCGCGCCGGTGACGAGCGCGCCCGCCACTTCGCCCGCGCCGCCCCCGCCCCCGGGCCCGATACACGCGCCCCCGCCCGCGCCCGGCGACGGACTGTTGCGAGCCAGCGGCGACAGACCTGAGTACATATACAACCATCACTCGTACCCCCGCTAATTGGTAATGCGCCTGGCTGCCATTTTGGTGACGTAATTATGTTTAAGAATCAGTAGCGTTATGGTCTGTGGTAAGACTCAAATGATTATGATTAAATGATTCTTTATATAAAATAATTCCTTAAATGATAATTTGCTAGATTTTTTTTCTATTTATGATTTTATTCTTACCCCCAGGGGACAGGACTCCACTGCGAGAGCTGACGGCATACGTCTTCGGTGGTTTCTTCGTAGAGGGAACAAAATTTCTGAAAAAAAAAAAGAATTAAAAAGTAGCCTTCTTAACTCTAAAACTATTCGTGTAACAACTATTCGACCGTTAGTTCTCATAGGATGCCGGCGATAGTGATGTGACTCAAATAGGTTTTTGTGACTCGGCGTGAGTTTTATATAGTCGGACGTGCTGTTACTACTGTATAATATAAAATAAAAAACAAAAAAAAATAGTTTTGACATATTATTATTTATTTGAGTAATCAAAGTAAAAAAAAACCGGCGTAGATAAATAAAGTAGAGTAGCAGAGTGAATACAATCAAGTCGAGACGCCGATCCGATAACTAATCGAATAAGACTCGAGTAATATATCTTTTTTTACTCGAATACGAGTTTGACAAATTCACTCGAGTAACTCGAGTAAAAAACAGAGCTCGAATCGCATCTAAAAATATGCGTACAAATACAAATTATAAACGTTACCTAGACCGCTCATGTATGGGCATCGGTTTCCCGTTGCCCTTGTTGATGTGGAGATCCCTGACGTGTCTCAGTAGTCGCGGCAGGTTGGGGAAGGGCGCCTGTCCCTTACGCACGCGCGCGCAGTTCCGCCACAAGCACGGGTACTCCGAGAACGAGCCGCGGTAGAATTGCTGGATGTGACCCGCTGACGACGAACATGTTCACACAAACAAAAGTGGTTACAACACCCGCATTATATTACCAAAAATATATGCAGAATGTCCTTTAGAAATTATTGCATACTGTCTTACAGTAAAATATGTGATACCTTTATTTTGATATAAACTTAAGTAACCTTTGTACACCACATTTTATGCAAAACATTGTTTGAAAAACTCCATATTTCACCAACTGGATTATGTCACTGTAAACCTCAAATATCATCAGATTTTTTATTTAAATTTACCCAAACCAAATTATTGTAAGATTATGACTGTTGTTATCCCGATTAAATCTATGATTGGAAAATATACACTATTGATAGATATGAAATGCGATAGGGTATTCTACTCTATTTGAAATAATACTTGTAACTGTTTATTTTAATTAAAAAAAGCCATGAAACATATATTTCGGAAAAATAAACACTTACCTACCTTAATATTAAATCAAAATTTAAACTTATTTTATACCCGCGAAATTACCGTCATATTCATTACGTCATTGTGATATGTACACAAAAGATATGCATAGAGTAGAAGATTAAAAGATGTCGATAAAACAAGAACAGTGCCATCTAACGATTGATTATGAAATAAAGAGATATAAATAAGCTAAGAACAGCGCCATCTAGGAAATTTATTTATAAATAATAGGTATATATTTATGACTAATTTGACTGTTGTCGCCACAATGACGTCACATAACGGCTGGTCGTGTTTCAGGACACGTGACACACAGACAAAAAATCACGAATTTTTATTTTAAGATGAAAAGATAATCATGCGAATTTAAAACTGAAAATCAGATTCTTATGTTTATTACGACGTAAATTTTATTTTTTGAGGAATTTTGTGATTTATTTTTCACTACCGAAACTACTTTATTTGTTCTACTGAATTTATTTCGGGATTTACACAATCGTTTTAAGCTAATAGAATATTAAAGAAATAAATTAAAAGTTACAAATCATTCAAAATTGGTATATACAAATATATAAGTATAGTATTTATGATTGTTGACCTTTCTTCATAAGTCTATTATAATCAGGAGTATTCTAGATACGATTGATACAAAAATAGTCCAATGTTTGGACATAATGTATAGACTACTGAATCAAGCGGTGTGGTAAATGATCCACGCTACATTACTCACGTTCCAGTTTAGTCTTCTTTGTCTCAATATAAGTTCCGATCACTGGCAGCGATGGAATAAAATATTTGAGTTAATTTACGTATTATTAACAAACGGGCGTATTAAGAAACTTTCATTTTGATTCCAGCCGCAAGGGGAGACCCAAAATCCGGTGAAGCTTTAAAACAAAAACGAAAGAGTACTTGATTGAAACCATAAGCTACCTAAAGTGAAGGGAAAATGTCAAAATTGTTCAATAATCAAATCAAATTGCTACTCTTTCTCGATTTTTTCTTTTATCTTTTTGTGTTGAGGTTTTTTAATTTTTAACAGTAATTACTTGATAGTAGTCTAGAGTTCCTCTCCAGTATAATTTAAAAAAAAAATTGACAAAACCATTGAACAATTATAATTTCTCTTTAATTTTAACGCTAACCACACTCCCTTTCACAGTTACGCACACTCCGGTTCGAATTCCTGAATTGAAAGAATTCTAAATCGTTCCAGTGACACTAACAACAAAATTAGGCAGTGTTTAGAGTTAATACTTACTATTGCCGCCTTCACCGATGCAATGCTCCATACAATCCGTCAGCTCCTCAAATTGATAATCGCAGTTTTCCCACGCACATTCGTACGTCTGTTCCATCGGCGTCTGGCAATAATTTGAATATTAATTACTTTCACAATCAATATTTTGATGCTGATTCATTCTGACATGATCGATTTAAATCGTTTGTTTTTAAATGTACCCTCGTGCCTATTATAAATTTGTCAATTAAATGTAATTCTGTGCTGTCATTTTGAACAATGACGTCATTCTTTAGTGTCGCTTGCAGTCGCGTGACTCATGGTATATAAATAATTATTTCAAAAGGAGAAAATTCTCTAATGTATTTTATTTGACTAACATCTTACTTTAACATTATTTAAGAAATTTTGCTATGAGCGGCTTTTCCTGATACATATGTTAAGCACGATGAAAAGAAAGAACCCACTTTGATATGTAAAAACGAAGTTTCCGTTAAAGAAATGAATAAATTTTATTTTTATTAATTTCTAAGTACATACATGTTGCGATAGTTCCCTCATTTCCTCAGCTAGTTTGGCGGAAGTCTCCTCGTTGCAAGATTTAGCTCGCTCCTCCCAACTCTGCTTCGTGGACGCGGGCAATGAGCGCCACTCGTTACCAACGATTCTAGATATCTCACCTGCCAAGTAACCAAATAAATAATACTTGTACATTAATAGAATTAACCCAGATCATTACCAATATACAACAACATAAAGCGACTCATTATAAAATGTCGACAAACTTTAGTATCAGGTTTAAGTCATTATCCGACGAAAATAAGTCAACGTTTCCATTTGACGTTTTCCATTCTGTAATGTTCAATTTGCTTGAAGCGGCCAATGGTTCAAACCAGGGTTATTGCGAATATCAACATTGTTTTTTTTTAATATCAGCAACAATCGATACTGATTTTAATACTGACATTCAAGTCGTAACGTAACCACTCACGTAAAGAAAGTTTAAAATACAAGCTGGCACATGCTCGCTCATTAACTCGCCCGCGTTAATTGGTTACTTGACTGTTTTGGGAAAAGTATTTTAAATACTTCATATGATCATATAAAACCTCTATCATATTAATTTTTCTGCAAAAAGTGTAATTAAATAAAAGAAAAACCAATTTCTAATCATTAATTTAAATTGTCCCGCGTAAACAATCAGTCACGTGACATTTTACTCGCAACACAGAACTTTACATTTAGTTTATTGAAATGTGACGTCACACGACACTCCGCCAAGGTCGCCAGGGTTTCGGTTCTTATAATCCACCGATTACAATGGCAAGTTTTTGCAAAAATAAAATACACTTATAATCAATTTAAAAACAAAAATACCACATAATTATTGTATTCATATTAGGTTACATACCATTTCTAACATATGTATAACTGTCAAGTGGTTGTGTAAAGAATAGTGTATGTTGTAGCTTCCTGTAGGTGAAAGAATTATCGAGCGGAAATGTCTAATAGTCGTATCCACACTAAGCGATCTGTCTTGGGTCAAGAGTGCATTGAATCAATCTATATGAACAGACTAGTGATCACGTGGATATTTGTCTAGAACTTTCAAGTTCCTTATCCTAGTGTTCATGGTTTTATACATGGCAACCCTAACATTCAGTGAAAGCAGCTTCACTGAATTTTCATGTGTCAATGCTCCAAATGCTCCACTGTTTCATTGTGAAAACAATAAGAAAAACATGCAATAAGGCGGAAAGGCCAAAATCTATCTAAAATCTAAATCTTTATGTATATGTATACATATTTTTGCGGTGCATTTCAAACATAAGATAGTGCAGATCAATGTGGGTACTATTATACTATAATAGAATTATAATGTAAAAAGACAACATTCATCTACCAAACCAACAAAGCTTATCATTGATATTATCCAGGAAAACATTTTGTTCTTTCTTTATAATTATAAAATTCGGTTATATTGATTAAATTCAACATGCAAACATAATATTATAATATGGAACTTATTCCGAAAGAAACACTAAAATGCCCCTAACAAACTTAAGCTCACAGATTTTTTTACTTGTAAACAGTGAAAAGACTCTAAATCAAAATTGGGTGTATGTGTTTATTTCAGAATCAGTACCAAACCAATGTATAAGGCGCATACAATGAAATAAATAATTAAAAAGTAACACCTACCTAATTTCAAACGTTTATCCTTGGATGCTAAATTTTACATAGATTCAATGTAAGTAAGAGATGTATGTAGCCAATAATATATAAAAAAATATTTTATATAAGTCAGATAGGTTTTGTTGACTTGGTTCTAATTAGGAAAATCAGAATGATGTGATAAATACAGAAGTTCCATTAGTAAATAACAGTGTATCCTTCATAATAGCAATAACCTTTAAAAACCTATGTATTTACACTTTTTCTAGACATAAATGACAGATGAAAAATTATCATAATATAAGTTGATCTAATTAAATAGCGTTTAAAAGGTTATCGGTATATTAAAATTATTCTACACAACCATAATAACACGTTTTCAATTTTATAGACAAGATATTTCCAAGCTCTTTAAAACTTTCGTATAATTTGTATAAATGCTCACCGAATGTGCAGTCAGGATTATTCGCGACAATAGCTTTACGCACTTCACTGGAATACAATATATAGCCGGTGACTATCTTCTGCTTTTGTTCCTTCTTCTTCTTACTTGAGGCAGGCGTGGCCGTCGGATTGGTGGTACGCTCCTGACTAGGAGTCGCTGTCATTGACGGATTGTATGGATTGCTGTTGCCACCTTAAGATGAGAAAAGAATTTGATGCTAGATAGAATAATTATTTTTTAGAGTACCGACTTAGACTACCTACACTGTATACGCATAATACAGGGTATCCGCCGGCAGATTTTACACTTTGAATGAGGTTTGTGGGAGTCAGAGTGGTGGGGGCGGGGGAAGCGAGGTAGCAATCGACGCGTGAGTGTTGCGGATATTTAGTAGCCTTGAGTCAGTGGACAGGAGCGCACTGCGCTTTCGCGGTAGAGGCTTACTTCTCAAACGGTAATTCTGTGACTATAGCGAGGCGACGTTTTTGTTCACGCTTTGATATTCGGAGAATAAAAAAGGTCCATCGAATCAGTTGATTTTGAAGAGGGTACAGAAGTTCGACCTGGGCCTTCCACTTCTGTAGCGACTCCGGAAAACATCGATCGCGTAAGGAGAAAAAGTTATGCAAAATCATCACAAATCTGTCCGGAAGATCGCAGCATCAAAAAGACGTTAATTCACAAAATTATAAAAAAGCATATCAAGTATCATCCTTATAAGCTCCAAATTATCCAACAATTGAAAGAAGAGGACTATGTTAGGAGGAAAAATTATTCCCAGCGCATTCTTGAGCGTTTTCCGACACTAAGTCGTTTAGGAAACATTTTTTTAGCGACGAGGCGCATTTTCACATTGCGTAATAAACAGAACATACGAACGTACGTAAATAAACAGAATATGCGCCAATGGGGCGATAGTAACCTCAGAGAAGTGCATCAAAAGCCTCTCCACAGCCTTAAGACGACAGTTTGGTGCGCGATTTCCGCTAACAGCATAATCGGGCCTTATTTTTTGGGAAACCGTGAAACAGTGACTGCAGAAAAATACTGTCATATGATGGACACTTTTTTCATCCCGGAATCGCATCGTCACTTTCAATATAACAACAGAACACATTTACAGCAGGATGGGGCTATGGCATACCGCTAGGGTCGCCATGGCCAAAATGAGACAAGTTTTTCCCGGAACCTCAAATCTTGTGTTTATTGCAACTCAACAACAACAATACAGTCTCTTCAAGAAAATATCCGACGTAGCGATTACTCCAGATTTGTGCTAGAGAGTTTTCTCGAGTATGAGAGCAAGATTGCAAGAGTGTGTGCTAAAAGACGGACAACATTTAAGTGGTGTCTTTTTTAAAAATTGAAATCCGTACTAATGCCTTGTACAAAAATTAATAAATGTGTTTGATTTTGTAATTATTTATTATTTTATTAGCTATCATAGTATAAAATCTGCCGGCGGATACCCTGTAGCTATTGGAGAAATTTTGTTAAGAATCTATAATAAAATGCAACGGTGAGTGACTGATCTTAAAGTACTGGACAAATGGAACGTAAGACACACCAATAGTTATTAACATAAATGTTTACTAAGTAAGCATATAAAAATTTTGAAAACTGCAAGCTGAAAGCTGATTTTTGTTAATTGGTATTCCATTAGCTGGTGAACATTGTTTCAAGTTTATGTTAGCAGTGTTTTATTAAATACTAGCTATTTTCCCGCGACTTTGCCCTCGTAAATTTATAACCTATGTCATCCGCGTATGATATAGCTTCCCGTAGGTGAATGAATTTTCGTGATCGGATCAGAATGTGCGAAGTTAACCTCCTAGAAATAGACAAAGTTAGAAACTTTACCTGTATAGAATACTATATTACCTATTGACAGTGGGGTGGCCGGTGAGGCTAGAGAGGAGTCGTCAAGAGAATTTTCTAGCAACATCTCCACGTCCTGGCTCCCGATCGTAGTGTTAATCAAGTTTGTGAACTGCGGTTGTGCCTGCGTTAACAGTAATCAGTAAAACACTTCAAAGATACACATAAACAACGAATCATGTAGTATCGTCTGAAACGGCTGAAATTTATGGCCTATCTATTCAATGGATACACTAGGAAGATATATTGAAACAAACGGCGTCCTTATTTCTAAGCAGCAATCTCTTTCTATAGTGAGAAAAAAAAAGTTATATAAAAAACCTTACAGTGTATAATTTGAGCAATAACAAAATATCGTAGTTATACTGTTATTTGCTTTTGTGTTGTCCTTTTATGTATTTAAAATATTGTAGTTATAGTGATTTTTGCCCTTGTGTTGTTTTTTTTTAGTAGAGAAAGAACAATCTCGAGGGAGAATTGATGAATTATAACTACCGTTCAGTCTCTTGAGTCACGTGTCTCTCTCACTACGGGATGTTGGCAAACTTTCACTGTATAACGGAACAAGTCCATATAAAAAAAAAAAAAAAAAAACTATATCATGAACTGTTATTTCTGTACAAATGTGCTCACCATCGAGTCAATGTTGACACTGGTGTGGGACTGCTTTTGACCAAAGGCGCTCGATGATGACTGGACGTCGTGCGAGCTCGCTAGCGGCGGAGGGCCCAGCGGTTTAGGGAAGTAGTAAATCTAGATGTTTACAAACGATTCAACAAATAAACATTTGGACCCCGAACTCACTACGCATTACGTATACCATTAAACTCATTACATATACCTTGGTCTTAGTTAAAGAATCAATTATTTTCCAATTTTCCTCAAAAATTATTGTATTTTTTGTTTAATTGTTATGCTTTCACAATTAAATTACTCGATAAAAAGCATAATTTTTGAAAGTAAAACCTACTTGTCTACTATTTAATAATAACAATAATACTATTTACTGTGGTGATGACGTTCACACTAGAAAAATGTATTTACTATAATACAAATTAGTTATTGCACCACTTAATCTCTTCGAAACGATTAATTTTGATGTAATGTATGCGGTAATATTCAGGATTCAATTGGTGGAACTATTACCTCATCCACTGTGACATCCTTCGTGTGTTCGAACTTGCGCAAACCCATCTTGAGTTTGCGAGCAACGCGGTTGGATTCGTCGTATACTGATTCGCATAAGTATACATCACCTTCCGCTATCTCTGTCGGACGGCCTGTGTGTGAAAAAGTGGGAACATGTTTAGTATCTTAAAGATATTATAAAAGAAATTTTAGTTATTGATTGAAAATTATTATGTGAAAAATAATCTACAAAATTGATAAACTACTAATTCACTGCAATATAACAGAAACGTAATATTATCTCACAAATGGTTACTATTTTAAGGGCAAGGGATAACTTTTCCTTTCATCTTTAATTACGAAAAATAAAAATTTATTATTTATGAAAAATTAATTATGCAAAATATCCAATATAACATTTTATAGTCAATAATGAATATGTAAAACTTACTCTTGAGATAATCATCGTAGTCTAACACGGAGCACTTGCCCACTATACCCACCAACGGGCTGGTATCATGCATGGTCGTCAGAAGTACCTCTTGCTTGTAAAAAGGCTATTTAAAACAAATATAAAAAGTAAGATAATTAATGAATTTAAACTAAGAACACATCTAGTAGAAATTTTTTGTTTAATTTTAACTAAAGTTCGACTTTTAATTAAATTCAGTAAAATGGCATTTCACGTGTGACCACCACTTTTTACGAAATATTAATAGGGACATACCAATTAATAATTTCATTCAAAACATTTTCATGAAAAATTGTAAGTCTTATACTGCGATTTTTTATTGCATGAACAGTTGTTGTTTAATTAAATGCAAAGGGATCTAGCCAACGACTTAATATTAGTGACATTATTTATTTTTTTCTATTTTCATTTCTATATATGTAGACATAGATGATGTTCTCTTAATATTATATTACGAGAAATTCCATAATTAAAAAACATACCAATAAGAAATGTCAATTCAAAGAAGAAATAATGATGATTTACTTCTATACAAATGTATTACTGTTTGTTTCACCACCCTGGGTTAACAACACTGGTAAGCTTGTTGAAAATATGAACTTCGTCAACAATTCGCACAATAGGCTCATATATAGGCTATCTAGGCTTCAGATATACCTAAACAAGAGTCAATTAATCTAATCGCGATTTGAATACGTGTACGTGACATGTCAATAATACAAAATACATCGAAACTAATAATAGATAATGAAAATGCATTTCTACTTCTTTTTCATAATTTTAATGGGTTTGAAAGTGAATTCAAATTTTTATTCTGTGAGTTGTGTCACGATTATTTTCAGTTTACATTTTTCGTAATAGAATGCCTGATGCATGACCTAGACCTAAAATGACCTATGACCTAATAGGTTAGGTTAGTTATGAATTTTTACCATCTCACAATGTGGCAATATTATTTCACAAAATGACATTAAAACTGTTATTTTACTGCATTTAAATGTCGAACTGTAGTTGATATTTACCTTGTTAATAATGTTGGCAACTTCCGATGGGAATATCAGGAAGGGACCACGGAAGTAACACTTGTTGCTGAAAGAAAGATAGCTTAAGCTAATTACAGCGTAAATTACATAACCAAAGTCACATATATCAACAAAACACAATCTGATCTAAAAAGCCAGGTCAAAGAAAACCTATTAGTGTACACAACTTCCAAGATATTGATTTAAAATCTGTGTTAATAAATAAATCAATTATATTGCAAACATACTCGCCAGTCTCCCAAATGGTGTCAACTTGTGCGATCAATTGTTTTCCACCATCAGTAACTACGTACACGTAGTCACCGGTCTTGATCACGCCAGAGCACACAGTGTTGTATTGTTCGTAGTATGTATTTTCATCGTCAGTTCCAAGCGGATTATACATCACCACGTCCTGTATTTTACATATGTATTTTACAAAACATAATATATTGATATAAACTATCAATATTTTATGTTTTGTGAAACATAAGGTAATATTTATTCTAGTCATGAGCGGCGTTTTGGGTTACAAGCAGAGATCTATTTTACTCAAAATAATTAAATATAACAGGAGTATTGTAATAAGATGTGTCTAACGACAAATAATTTGCAAGCTGCCCACTATATTCTGTGAGTTTTGTGTACTTAAACTTATTCTCTTTTTTCATAGTATGAATAATTGCATATTCTATCTACTACAGTGCAACTTTCATCTATCTATACTAATATTATAAAGAGGAAGGTTACATTGAATAAGCTCTGAAACTACGACTTATTTTTAAAATTCTTTCACCTACGGGAATTACATCTAACGCGGGTGACATATAAGCTATAATTTACGATAGCGAAGTCGCGGTAAACAGTTAATTTTACTATAATATCGGGAATATTAGAAAACCATATTATGAGAACTCACTGGTCTCTCCTTCTCTTGGATGTTCTCCAATATTTCGAGTTCCGCCAATTCGTCTTTGTGTTTCTCTACGCGTTCTCTAAATACAGACACGGTACGGTTGGGCTCCAATGGGACCTGCAATAAAATACAAATTATTGTCCAAACATCTTGTATATATACAGAGAATAAAATTGAATTTCAATTGAATTACTCAAAGTCGAAGTCAAAATCCCTTTATTCAAATAAACTTGTTTTAAGTACTTTTGAACCATCCAACTTTTTTGTCCTACCACCACCCATTCAGGACGTCTTTTAATAAAAAGAAAGCAAGAATTTTACTAGCTCTAATGGAAGTAACGACATTCACAAAAATAATGTCATTACCTGATCAATACATCATAAATAATACTCATATACCAAAATCTTTAAACAAAGTTAAATATAACAATTACTTTTTGAGTTAATTTATCGTTGTTTCTAATTACATAGCAGGAGTCACGTTACTGATTCAATTGAATAATGACACGACTTTAATTTATTTTTCATTGATGCTAATAAGTATTAAGTTATAGAAACCTAAAACAATAAAGGTGCTAATACAAAAACCTTTTAACCCTATACTTAGCAAGAGATTTTTTTAGAGAATATATTAACATATAAGTATTGGATGAAGTTTTACTATGAAATCATTCAAAGGTGTAACCTAAATTTAGATCTGCAGAATCAAGAATATTTATTTTTATTAATATTGAAAGTTAGTACAAGATCAGACTACAGATAATTTCCGTCTTTTTTATATTATTAATTTACTGTTTAAATTTTTTAAGTGTAAGCAAAGAAAATCGAGCCTCATTAAGGACGGGGTCCTTACAATCATAGCTCTTCTCACTTAGTAGGTCAGTGTTTATGACTTCTGACATTATCTTTCGATATCATGTAAATAATATATAAGCATATTTTGGCCTGTTGCTTCTTCTATAACCTTAATTATTCTTAAGTTGTATATCATTTTCTTAATTTTCGATTTGCACTTTCTGGCTCAAGGCTAAATTTTGAAAGTTACGTTTCAAATAATACCCATTGCCAAAAATAAGGTAAAAACTTACATCTCTGGGAATAAGTGTAGCTTCCTTTTCGGCACCTTCCCACACTTTGATTTTTTTGAACCAGCGGTGCTTGGTGTTGTAGCGACTCTCGCAAACGTATACATCTTTATCAGCATAGCCTAAAGGTAAAATAAGATAAGAAGATGGAGAACCAAACTCCGTGGTTTGCACAGTCTATAAGAATTTCGCGCCCCACGACCCAATTTTGGGTTTCATCTAACCCAAAATTGAGTCGTTAAAGTACGCCGCTCTAGAATGCCAAAAAATAATTATTTTACACTACTAACTTACCTTGAGGCCTATACTTGAAATATTCTTTGACGTTCATCACATAGCAATGACCACTGATTTGATCCAAGGGAACGGTGCGATGTGCTTCCGTCTTGAACACCTCTTGGTGAAGGAACTTGCGGGTTGTTATATGGAATGTGTCTAGAGGCCTAAACAATTATACATATATTTCATTTAAATAATTAATTAATAATATAAATATACAATAAACTAACAAATAGTAAGTGTAGACAGTAAACGAAAATGAATACTTTTTTTTTCTAGTAGGTTTTAAATACTATTAGCGATAATCACACTTATATGCTTATTATATTTATAATATTGCTTAAATGAATAATGTAAAAACCAAATATTTTATGTTCGTTGTCACGTGGCCGCAAACAGCGTGTGACGTCACGCCCCTCTACTAATATCAGAACTTAGAAAATCAAACCTTATGCATACATATGTAACGATGTTAATTATAGAGGCGCGTGACTTCATAGCGACGCCATGAAAGAAGATGGCATTTCGCGAGAAATTTTGATTATTAAAATTTATATTTAGATTTCAACTTATTATATGAATGATACTTTTTTAGATATATTTCATATTGCTATACTATAGATTGATACACATCTATAAAATAAAAATATTATAAAAAAAGTCGTCTACAACCCCTATATAGCATGGTCGCTGAACATAGAGAATTTCGTACGTTGACCTTTGTGCCAACTGCTTGATATCACAAACATTAAGGTTCATTTTACTGTGACAAAATTGGCTAGATGCATCTGTGCGAGCTCAATAGCAATATGTTTACGCTATACTCGAAAATCCTTTCCAAACATATTTTTTTGAAAAATAATATGTACATATAATAAAGTAGAATATTTCCATTACCTGTAGTAGACGTTGGCATACATCATAGGTACCCCTTCCTTATTAGTCCAGACTCTTTCTACCTGCACTATACTGGGGTCCTTGTTGCCCTTTTCCGGTAAGACATACACGAAGTCCCCTTTGTTATACTGAGTCTGTTGGAGCGGAGCGCTACCGGCCGGCATCGAATCGTCTGTACTAGATCTGTTCGGGTTACAAAATACTTATTCTTAATACAAAATGCTTAAAAAATGAGAATACGCTCTGTAGTAGCGAAAAGTAACAAGTGCTTGAAAGATTCGTCAGTCCTGTTAGGTCCTGGGTAGCTCAGCGGTTAGAGCAGTCGCCCAGATTGCGAAAGGTAGAGGGTTCGATTCCCATCTCAGGGTTCCAGGGACCAAGTGATTTTTTTTTAAGCATTTTGTATTAAAAATAATTTTCCGTATGGCATTGGGAATGCAAAATTAAATTAATCAAATATATTATTGTGGCGTTCAAAGGGGGAGGCCTATGTTCAGCATTGGACGTCTTCCGGCTGATGATGATGATGATGATGATGATTATTAAAAAAAAAATAATAAAAAATCCAAATTTAGTATTGTGGAAATCCGAAACAACGAAGCTACTATAACACCCAGATCCGAGACAATATTTATAATGATAACTGCTGCAAAATATTTACTAGCCCCAGGTACCCCGAAAAGGGACAGAGCCCTAAAAATTCCTTTAGTAACTGTTAGCATCTATATTATGAAAATCCGAAACAGCAAATGTATCACAACATCCAGACCCAAGACATTATTGAATAGTTCATGAAGATTTTTAAAGCATTTTCCATTATATTTATTTATTATGCTCTAACAACAATGAGTACACTAAAGCTACACTCAAAATTACATCTTAACAAGAATTATAAAGCTATAGTGTTACATATCTTATAGCTTGTACCGCTTCCATTGATAAACATTAAGCGTATAATGATTATTGGCTTTCACAATGTATTACTGATAGCACCTATAGTTTCCACGTGTGGAATTCAAAAATGAGCAAACATAATAATTCATGAATATTACTTAAATTATCAAATTAATTATGAAACATACCAGTTTTTGGTTGCATTATGCAAGACAGACAATTGTTATACCATAACAAATATTAAAATCTATATATATATATATCTCACCTAGTTTCATCTTCATCCTCATTTTCTTGTAGCAGCTTACATTGTTTAACTAACTCCACACTAGTAGTCAATGTGTCTCTTGTAAATGAAAGTGCTGGCGAGTGAAGTGTATTGCGGCATAGATAATCGCGTTGTTCTATGAAGTACGATTGCAGCTCTACAGAGTCTTCAAAGATCTGGCTGTCGGTGCGAGAGAGACGGCGAGCTCTGGAAAATGATAAATAATTAACCACAACTGTTATTTATATAGAAAAATAAATTTAATAACATTAAAATCATAATTCACAATTAATTTAATTGCCATAATAAAGACAAAGCTAAAACTACGATGTTATTATTATAAAAAACACTATGTTTTCAAGGGTTTAAAGGGTTGAAAAGTCTACTAATAAAAAATACTATTGAAATCATTTTCCCTATATTCATCAACACAAAAGGGGATTGCACCAACCTATGAAAAAAACAACGCTAGTTTTAGGGCCGGTTTCACCGGTTGCTGATAAAGTCCCTGATAGTCTATCAGGAACTTATCTGCCAGATAAACTACAACTTTTGGTTTCACAGGTCTCGGATAAAAATATCTGGCAGATAAAGTATTAGATATGTTATCAGCCGATTCGAGTGGCTGATAAAGACGTTATCTGATAGATAAAAAAAAAGTTTCAATTGACGGGAACGAAAATAGTTTTAGTTATAGACCATTATTGTGTGCTTTACGTCGATTGAACTCACAAGTGTCACAAATATTCTAAAATGGATTTATTTGAGTTTTTAGAAGACGAATTAGATGAATATTTCAAACGTATTACGCGACCCCGTAGGAATCGAGTAATTAAACCTAGACCTAATTATTGAGAATCACTTGACGATCAAGATTTTAGAAATCGATTTCGGCTTACCAAGCGGGATGTTATTTATATTCTATCGTTAATAGAAAGTGATATAAAAACTACAACGGGCTATTTAGTAAAAAATCTCCGTTAACTAGTAAGTAAAGAAGCTCCGTTTGTTTCTTCTTGATTAAAATTCACACTTCTTTCACGTTTTTGTTTTTCCATTATTAATTAACAAATACGAAAATAATACACAAAGAAAAGTTTAAAAACTGAAAAGCGTCTTAAGCACAAAATATCAACAAAGCAAAACAAATGATAGTTGCGTTTCGTTTCTGTAAACACGTAGCTAAGTATACGAATATCGTATTATTTCATTCTAGAATCATAAAATTATAATTCAAAATATGTAAAGTATAAGTATAAAAAGTTTACTTAAATAATATTAAACACAAAAAATAATATTAATTAAGTTTTAAAAATGATTTTTGATTGACGATAATTTGGGTCGTAGTATTGAAACGCAAAAAAGCGACGTTGCCGTTCCGTCAACTAATAAGTGGCCGATAACTTATCTGCCAGATAAATTATCTAGCAGTTTGATGGTGAAACAGAAAAAAGTTAACAGCAACCTTTATCCAGTAGATAGCGTTAACTATCAGATAACTATCTGAAACTTTATCAGTAACCGGTGAAACTGGCCCTTAAACTATTAACAGTTATCTAAGAGTAATTATCAAAATGTTACTACATAATCATCAAAATGTTCATAGTTTATAAATAATAAATTCTATTTATATTAATAACCCTAGCACATATATATATTTTTTTCCTTCTTCTTCTTGTCAACGGGTTGTTTTGGCAACAAGACATTCAGTGCCTATTTTGCGTGTAAGCAGTGGAGGCTTTTAATCCTGCCATCCCAGTTCCTCCCAAGGATTGTAGTACATATGTTAAAAAATATATAAAATTTTATTTTTAATTTCCATTTTACCTTTCGAAAACAGCAAACATATCCTGTTGAAAGTGGTCGAGCCTCTTATAAAGACCCTTGTCCAGTCGACGCTTAACAAGGTCGAGCGATATTGCTCGCACCTTTTCGCCGTTACTCGCTTCATCGTGTTCGGGCAACTCAGCCATGCTGTCTGAATAACACCTAAAAAGTAAATAAACAAAGGTTTCATCGTCATATTTTCTTATTGTAATTATTTATTATTATATTTTTGCAAATTAATTTGTGAAAGTATTTTTGATATTCTAATCAGATACAATTATAGTTCATTTCTAACATCGTCTAGGCCGGGAATAGCAGAAAAATAAGATGACGAAGCTATGAGACTGAAGTGTGCTCGACAATTGTATTTTTTTTTTAATTTTAACAATAGGAAAAGATTAATGTACTTTGTTGTTGATTACCTTCCCTCTTCATCTTGGTGGTTGTAAACTGTAGTGAACAGATTGAGTAGAAGCTCTTGTACGGCTGCCGGTACATCAGGTACCGAATCATCATCTTCCCTGTGTATCAATACAAACAATTCTAAATGATATTAACTACTTCAAACTCTATTTAAAAACAAAATAAAATGTATCGTATAAAAGTTAAATGACGTTTCCGAGTGTGTCTTGGGAATACCGGCTCCAGAAAAATGACTTGGGTAGAATTTTTGCGGGGATTTCAATGCTATCTTAAAGATGTTGCATGACAAGACTAATAATAAGAAAAACCAGTTTCACGTGTCCTTTTGTTTGTAGTAAACGCCATCTGAAGGAATTCTTTTCGGGCTAAATATTTTAATGAGTAGCATAGGTTTTCAAGGGTGTATCCATACTAATATAACATTTTAATATCTTTGTTTATTCGTATCTTTGATTATGATGCATATTAAAATTATCGTTTACTTAACAAAGTATGTACTTAACGAAAAATACCTGAGCATCTGTTTAGTTTGAAGGCACATCCTTTGCAATATCAATGCGTCTTTATAAATTTGGGAGTCTGGTTCATTGTACTTGCAGGCATTATCAAACATCAGTATAAAGTCGGACGCCAGCTCATTTACAGAATTGTAAGCGTTGTTTTTTAATTTGTGTGCTATTTTCTCCATGTCAATTGGATTCTTTATCAACTCGTAGTAGTCGGGGTATTCAATTTTGTTGGGTAGTTTCATAAATATTAGTGCAAGCTGACGGTTTGCTGCAAATATTATGGAAAAATAATAAATATTTCATAAATTAATCCAAAGATCTTTATATTCAAAGATGCCTTTTTATTAAAGGATAGTAGTAAATTGTCTCAAATTATCACATGAATATAAACTTCTTACATAGCAAAACCAAACTTTGCTCTGAACCACATACTTTATTTTGTATATATGACACAAATGCTTGTCCCACATTAATAGAAAATTGCTTGTACACCGTAAGCAGGTACAAAATAATAAAACATGGCATTTTTGTAACACAAACCTTTAGGATCCCTATAGTCCCTTATAGCATCATACAAAGTCCTCAACTTTTGTTCGAAAGGTGTCAGCTGCTTTGATTTAACAGTCTTTATGAGTTTTATAGGTGTCTTTCGTTCGTGGCCACTGTTCAGATCTCTTAAGCGTTCGTTGAGAACGCGTTCTAAGAGATTAGCGTCTTCGTATATCATGGAACCTTCTTCATTGAACTGACGGCAGTTAGAGAACATCAGTCGAAAGTCTGATACTAACTCCTCAACGCTGTTATAACGATCGTTCTGGGAATAAGATATAGCTACTCAAGTTAAATCTTTCAATAGAAAAAGGTAAATAATATTTTTTGAATCGTCCATCTTTTTAGTTACAGTGAATTATATGACGTAAAACCGTTATTTAAAATATGGTGAAAAGAGTGCGGTCTTCGAAATTTAAAATAAAGATTGTCAAATAAAAGATTATTTACGTAAAAATGATGAAACTTACTCTATCAGTTTCATAATTTTTCTTTGTTTTAGATATGGTATTTAGAAAAACATTTTTATTGTCCTAGTCACATTTTTGCTGATCAGAATCATAATTACCTTAATATTAGCTTCAATGGTGAGCATATCGATGGGTCTCTCGATGACATTGTAGTAATCAGGATATAGTTTCTTGCTCGGTTTCTCCATGAAGAGGAGCATGGGATTCCGACCGTCAGGGCACGTGTACTCGACTAGTTGTTTAGCTATGTAGTGGAGTTTCTTTTTCAAAGGCACATTGAGCTTGGAGATGGAAGGCGATGGCGCGGGCGAAGGCGCCGACACTGGCGGAGGATTTATGCGGGGACGACCTGTTTAAAAAAGTTATACGTTGATATGCAAACATGTAATTTAACACCATTTTAAACAGCATTATTAGCATCAAATACTATTATATTTAATTTTAATTATTTAATTAAATTGAGTTGTAAAAGTATCGTACTAGTGATTCAGAACGCCACATATAAGCATAGAATGTGTATCTTCACTGTCGGTTTATTATATACTGTTTTCCAGCGACTTCGAATAAGTATAGAAAAAAATAACTAAAATAATGTACAAAGTATTGCGCTCAATATGCTAAATTAATAAATTAACTGAGTGAGGTAGCATAGCTCGTGATCCAGAAGTATTATTTTGTCTAATTCAATAATAAAACCAAGACCAAGGAGATAGCTAGATTAACAAAAGAAATCTTTACCAAATTTAGTAATTACCCAAGTAGTTAGTACACTTTCATTATGGTACTTTTCAAAGATATAAATGAATAAAAAAAATAGCATTTATATTTTAGTCTCATCCAAGATTTTTATATGTTTTAGTGCTTTTACCTCTCGGTCGGGGAGTATTGACTTGATTCTTCACTGAGGAGAGACTCTCATCATCACTGGACGAGCTCGGAACTATGTCCAATAGTTCTTGAACGCGTTGCTGCATCAACCTATAACATGAAAATTACTGAAGTTAAATCACGCTAAAATATATCTGATGGATTCTTATTGTGAGTTAACTTTACACTAGCCTTAGACAAATCATGTGACGTTGTATAACTCATACTAATTAACATGATACTTGGAGGGCCTTATTTATCTTCAAACGAAAAATCGGAAAATTACGGATCGGTCTTATAATTTTGTTAAAATCATATACGCGAAGTTAGGCCGAGCAGTGTAAAGTGCTACCTCCGTTACATCATCCGTCATAGTAACAGCTAATATTAACACAACTCAACTCACCTCTGTAACTTCACGGCGTCTTTGTATAACTTTGAAGTAGGCACATTATATTGCTTAGCGTTTTCGAACATGATGTTCATATCACCAGCCACTTCTGAGAGAGTGCCGTAGCTTCCACGCCTGATTTTGTTTTTGATTTGGTTTAGGGATACTGGATTTTTAATCTCTTTGTAGTAATCAGGATATGTTCTCCGCGATGGAAGTCTCCAGAAAGGTTCTGACATTGGGGTTCCTGTTCAGAACACAAAGTTATTGTATTCTCGTAGATGCCGAACTAATATCTTTTAACTAAACACAGTAGGGTTAATAAATATCAAATTTCTTAAGTCGATTTTTAGGGTAAAGAAAGTATAATTTAATCAAATCAAATATTGGGCAGACGCGCAACTCTTCAAGTTAAATATTAATATAGTATTGTGAATTCAAAATTGATCAAATATAATAAACTAGCTTTCCGCCAGTGACTTTTCCTGGGCTTTCCCGTTTTTGCAATATTTTTACTGCTGTTCCACTTCTATTAGTCATAGTCTTCCTCGGTAAACGGACTTTTAAACATAAAACAAATTTTTCAATTCAAACCATTAATTACTGAGATTAGTGCATTCAATCAAACAACTTAAGTTTATACAACCAACAGTTGATGAAGTCAACCCATTGGTTGATGTTGTGTTTAATGAGACATTTCTCATTACCCTATTTTGTTTCGGTTCATGAACACAGAGGTGGTATTTGTGTCCTACTATATAATATGTGAATGTTATTTTCGAATAATTCAAATTTAAATGTATACTACATAATTGGCTTGTTGATGCTGTCATACTCTTACCATTTGGACCCAAATGATTTTTGATAACTTCCAGCAACTTCCATTGTGGAGAGTCTTCATTTTCCATTTTCTCCTCATCACTGTCAGCAGCACTATCTTCGGAATGCTAGATTAATAAGAAAATAAATCACACAAATCAATATGTAAATTTTTTACTTTTATTTTTGTTGTTCTACAACTTTTATGTGACGTTACCTTGACTTCAGGCTCTGGATCCGATCCTGGAGGTTCCATAATAGCTAGAGCTTTACTTGATGGCACAGGTCCGACTCTCGAAGTGCGCTTGCTACGAATACGCTCTGATGTTTTTGCGGGGCCACTGCGGCCGTGCTGATCGATTTCTTGTTTACGCACTGTGATTACCTGGAAGACAATTTCCTCTAGATTGTCCTGAATATAATTATAAACTAATTGTTCAGTTACAAAAGGTATTCAAACAAAGATAAGAAACCTTGACGCTAAAAAAGCTCCAGGTTTTGATCTTATAACGCCAACGATACTTAAACAGCTACCCAAAAAAGCTGTCACTTTCCTTACTTGTTTATTTAATGCCATCTTAAGAACATCCCACTTTCCATCACTCTGGAAGGTATCACAAGTAGTGATGATACACAAAGTAGGAAAGCCTGAACATGAAACGTCGTCATATAGGCCTATAAGTTTGACGCCTGTGCTCTCAAAACTTTGGGAAAGAACATTCCTTTCGCGACTTCTACCGGCCATGAATGAATGTAGTGTTACTCCAGTTCATCAGTTTGGCTTCAGAAAGGCACACTCAACGGTCGAACAAGTCCACAGAATTTATCACACTATACGACAAGGTTTCGAAAATAAGCTTTATTGCTCGGCGGCTTTTCTGGACGTACAGCAGGCTTTTGATAGAGTTTGGCACAAGGGACTCTTGGCCAAAGTAAAGAATAACTTGCCACACTCAATGTTCCTTCTCATTAAATCGTACATAACAGGGCGCTCATATCAGGTCAAACAAGGCGAAGCTAGGTCAAGCCTTTACAAAATCGAGGCTGGTGTTCCTCAAGGGTCGGTCCTTGGACCAGTACTATATACTATATTTACCCATGACCTACCGGTATTGAATAACATCACTGTTGCAACCTACGCTGACGACACTGCCTTCTTATCAACCGACACTGACCCTGGGGTAGCCAGCTATAACTTGCAAAAGCAGCTTGATGCGACACATAGGTGGCTTTCTAAATGGCGGATACGCGCAAGTGCTAGTAAGTCTCAACATGTCACATTCGCTTTGAGGAAAGGCAATTGCGCCCCAGTCAAACTTGGAAATGATATCCTACCACATTCTGACAACGTGAAATACTTAGGATTCCACCTTGACCGACGTTTGACCTGGAAGAATCACATAAAGAATAAAAGGAACGAAATTAACACAAAGTATCGAAGCTTACTCTGGCTGATGGGAAGGAACTCAGTACTGTCCGTCGACAACAAGCTGCTGATATATAATTCAGTTTTAAAACCGATCTGGACATATGGGATTCAAATATGGAGTGTGGCTTGCAAGTCGAATGTCCTATGTCTCCAACGAGTACAAAACAGCATACTGAGGGATATTGTAAATGCTCCCTGGTTTACCAAGAACGATGAAATCCATGCATATTTGAACATGCCAACAGTGGCCGCTGAAATCGAATTGTATCGAAAAAGACACAAGGATCGTCTAAAAAATCACCCAAATCCTCTTATAGCAGAGTTGTTGGACCCATCGAAAGTGGTGAAGAGGTTGAAAAGAGACCACATACTTAATTAGTAGAAGCGGTGTTGACCACTTCACTAAACCAATCTCCATCTACATCAACAAATTCGCTTATGGTCTTGCGACCGATCGCAAATAGCAATATTAAAAAAAAAAAAAAAAAAAAAAAAAAAAACAAAGTATTGGCTATGGGAATGTGATCAAATTCATCCAACTTAGAGAAAATAAAAAATCGAGAGGACACAGACAGCCCATAATCTTGCTATCAGACAATTAATATGGCGTCAGATCAATCGTGATCTTGATCAGATTGATTATGTAATGTGTTTAATGATGCCAGATTGAAATGAATAGAGTGAAACATTCTGAAACACATCACTAAGGAACATCCCTTCATTAAGGCAAAAAATTACCTACAACAATTTAAAGATTTTAAACTTACATAAAGAGCTAAGAATCTTTACCATTGGCTAAATGTTTGAATTTCTCAGACAGCACTCTTTGTACAACAACCTTACAAAAATTTCAGTGTGAGCATTTTGAAGATATCTAACAAATCATATATTCTGATATTTGTTTTATGTTCAGTAATGGTTTTATAGTATTTCATAATTGCAGTGTATTGTAATCTTAACAAAAACTGGTCACATTGTTACGATAATAAATTTTTCAAAGCAAAATTCCTAGGTGAGCTGTCATTAGAAATAAAAAAAAAAACCTACCTTTTTCAATGCTTTAGCATCCTTATAAATTTGGCTACCAGGCTCATTAAAATGACAAGCATTCCTAACCATCAGTTGCAGATCCTTTTCCAAATCAGTGAGAGTCAAATACTCGCCCCCTTGTATTTTTTGTGCTATTGTTTTCAAGTCTATGGGATTGTCTATGACACTGAAATATTCAGGATAGCGTCGTTTTGAAGGTAAAAATTGAAAATCGGGATAAAGAGGCCTGCCATCAACATTTGCAAGCATTACCTGCAAAATAATGTATATATAAATGAGTATACTTAACATTCCATGGTTGACAAACCATTTTAAAAATGTCATTTCTCAGTTCTAGTATTTGCCTCCAGGCCAGCCCAAAATTGTAAATTAAAAGTTTTGTTACTGTCAGTGGTCAAGGTGCCGTCATAGTTTCAAAATGTCACAAAGAAATTCTTCAATTACTTAACATGGGAACTGGGACCTGGAATGTGGCGCACGAAAGCATACCATACAGGCTACAATGACTACAATAGCCCAGTATGAGGATTACCTTCACCACATATCAAACAGAGGCATGTTGCACATTACAAACTGTCATACTACATCCATGTACAACTTCTGTGGTCCTTACTCTAATTAACTCTACTTTATCCACTTTATTACAAACTATTTCCCGCTTTATCTCTAGTAGCACAAGTCTACTTGTTTGTGGAAGTGTCAGGTACAATTTTATGCAAACACCATGAATTTATTTACCAAATTAATTGAATACATGAAATTAAATGTATGTCTTATGTAATGGAGAAAAAATTTATAAAGTCTACATAAATGATATAATATCATAACACTTTAAGTTTGAATTAGACAGAATTTTCACTTACAGCATTAAATAATTCTTCAAAAATATTGTCATCATCATTGTTTGTAGAAGTCTCAGATAGATCTTCTGCAACATCTGATCTTCTACTTGAAGACCCATTACGGGACAATTTGGGAGTTTTTATGTCATCACCTGTAATAATAGTGAAAGTGATATCTTTTAGTATATTCATGAGTATGAACATAAGTGATAAATTAACTTTATTGGTTTAGAGATGATAGAAGTATACCATTTTCTAGAGCTTGTCTACTTTGAGTATACAATTTCCACAGGTCAATGGCATCTTTATACTCCACCGAGTCAGGCTTATAAAATGCTTTAGCATTATTCACTAGAAGCTCTATATCAGCTGACAATTCTTCTATATCTTCATAAGTATCAGTTTTTAGCTTCTGTTGAACCTAAAAGCAAAAAAATAAACTTGAATATCATTGTTTTTCTACATCTTAACAATAGGGGCGATATTATAGTTTTACTGTACATATATTTATTTTATTTTTTGCATAATCAATATATAACTACACACATATGAGTTTGAATACCATACAACTTCACACTTTTAGAGATTTCTTAAATAGTTATAATGACAGACTTAATACCTTAAACCAGATAACCAGAGAGTTGGATATAGATAATATATGAGGTGGTACTACAGAGATCAATCCTACAGATACAGAGGTTGATTATGATTATTGGCTTTGGCCTTAAATCCATTTTTACATTGCATTATATGTTTGTTAATAATAATTAATATATTGCATGAAGAGAATTAGTTTATATTTAAAAACACCAAACTTCTTTTATTAGTTATTATCTTAGATTATGGTTAGGATTAAAAAGTAGGTAGCTATACTATTCCAGTCCATTCTCAATTTCTGAGACCTACTAATTAGTTATAAATACTTTTCCCTAATTGCTTAAACATATGAAAATATTATTTCATTTGAGTAGTTTTTATCTTTACATCTGAATCAAACAATTCGCCTTAATAAAGATATCAATCAATATTCCTTTTACTGGCAGTTAAATTAATATTTAAATACATTATACTTACCCTCAACAAGTCAATAGGTTCCGAGACGACTTCGTAATACTGGGGTTCCTGACGTCGCTTTGGTGCTCTTATGAAAGAATCACATAGCAAATTACCATCTTCTTTTTTATAAGATCTTATAGTATCATAAAGTTGCTGGCATATTTCACTCTGTAGTGCAAAAATTTGGCTTGTTAGTGTAAATAACAATGATTTTAGCACATTATTTTAACTCGGGAGTCAGTGAAGTAAACATTAATATGTTACATTAATAGCAAACAATATTATTTTACAAGTAATTACTGTTTATTTACAGGGTCCAACTTTTTCTTCTTTCTTGATGATGGAGGTGGTCCAGGGTTGCTGAGTCCGTCGTCACTATCATCGTCAGCCCCTCGGCTGGCCACGGATGAAGTCCGGCGTCTCTTGCTCATTACGATTTTGTAAAAGGATGGCAGGAACAGTTTGCTAGTGTGATAATTGGTAGAAGATACCAAAGATCACATTATTCATTGAATACTTATGAAGTTCTTTCTAAAATTTTATTTAGAAGTTCTTTTACCGCTCTCCCATCAAAATTCCAAACGAATAAAGTAACTTATCTGAACCAATCTAAACCAAACCAATGCAAATGCCACAGGCAGTGAGGTGGTTAAATTAACACTTAGCGTGTTAGCACGCTAATTATACGTAGCTCGCTAAATTAGCACGCTATTAATATGTACATGTTAAGGAGTTAAGAATGAGGAAGTATTTAAAAAAAATATTAGTTCCCGAAATCAAACTAGATGCCGCTACTGTAGGTTCTTGATTTCTTCATGACAATCCTTCCGGTTTTCTTTTATGTTTAAAAGTAAATTAGTTTTCAAAACTCAATAAACAACTCATATTCGATTTGTACTTTTTCGTATTTGTATTGATATCTAAGTTTCGAACTTTTCAAATTTCAGATTTGTAATATGTTAGTTAAAAGGAATCCCATCGATTTATATACATACTTAAATAATATCCATATGAAAGGCCTCAGATGAAATATAGGCAATGAAAACGTTGATTATCAAGCAAGATTTAAAAAACCTGTAGAAAAAATCTGTAGCAAGAACAGCAAGTAAATGAAACAACAGGAGATTTAGCTATAAGCCTTTTATTAAAAAATCAAGATTATTCAAGCATGGTAGGTTTTGCCCCATATGATACATACATATATGGTGACTGATTTGGCAGTACGCCTAACCTCCTTCGCCTGTCCAAATGGACGAAATCTGTACACCTAAAGAAAGTAAATTGTGGGTAGGTAGAAAATTCTACATATGCAATCGAGATGCTTCTTATTGTATGTACCTTGTAAAAAATAATATAGTTTTTATATAAGTTAATAAGTACGTGCCTATTTCTCAAATTGTGAAATTCTTACAACAACGTCATCTGTTTATTGGAAGAATGAATAAATATTTCAAGAATTTTATTTTATGCGGAGACGCTGATTACCATTGCCTTCTTTGTCAAGAAAATTTTCAAGGCTTAGCAAATGTTGATAAGCATATCCGATGGGAGAAGCACAGACAAAATTTGAAAGTGCAGACTTACTGTTCGAAATATAAAAAGGAATTTATTTACAAGGTGCGTATTATAAATGTATAGGCATATTATATTATCTAAGTACCTATAAATGTTTTGATTGAATATTTTATAATTTACCATCAAGAACCTTGATGCGATACCACCCGTTTTTAGAAGCCATTTGCATTTGAGACACAGCTCGTAGAAATACTTCTCACTGAGCAAAAGAACAGATAAATTCGATTAACTGCAACTACAATTTTCGGTTTCATTAACATCGTCAACCTATTGCTATCCATAAATTGGGTAAAGGTTTTCCCGATAGATGGAATCGGATCGAATGGGCCAGGACCCACCAAACGGGTCCAGTGCTGATCGATGAGTCGATCTCTTACGATCTTTGCGAAAATTGCTGAATTTCCCTATCACAGACATAATGTGCTAACCACTGCGCCATCGTGCTCCTTTTCCGTATACATACGACTGAGAAATCGTTATATCTTTTGAGATATTCTATAACAGTCAACGTCATAGTTCAGACAATTTACGCCAAAAATTAAGTACGTATTCTTTACATATTATGTATATGTACTAAACTTTCTTTTGATTTACGCAGTTTATCAGGTTATTTTTAAATTACGTAGAATCACAGAACCAAAGACCTATTATCATATTAGAGTTTGGATGATATGGCTGGTGATTCTTGGAAACTTGAACTTCCGGTTTGTTCATCGGTCATTAAACATTCTTCAAAAATCAGATCTATCAGATTCTATATATATTTTAAAATTTAAATAGGAACAGTAAATATTTATTATTTTGAAGAACAATGATGGATGTATTAAACCGGAAGTTCAAGTTTCCGAGAATCATCCGGCCGCCTGTAATAGTACGACTATAAGTACCTACAACATTCCGATGAAAAGTGACTGGCGTAGGGTAGAAAGTAAGAACTTACCGTTTCTGGGTGCTGGTAACTATATATTTTTTTAATAATGATGCATATGTAAAAACATTTAATTTTCTTGTATGGTAGTGTGATGGTAGTCGAATAGATTACAAAAGTAATCTACTTTGGGCTGTTTACTAAAATTTCGACGCAGTGAGGAAGTATTTAAAAAAAACATTAGTTCCCGAAATCAAACTAGATGTCACTACGGCACGTTCTTGATTTTTTTGCATGACAACAGTTCCGGTTTCTTTCATGTTCAAAAGTAAATTAGTTTTTAAAACTTAATAAACCACCCATATTCTATTTGTACTTTTTCGTATTTGTATTGATATCTAAGTTTCGAACTTTTCAAATTTCAGTTTTTTAATGTTAGTTAAAAGAAACGAAAATGAGTGTCTTTGGTCCATTCGTTTTCTGTAAAAAACAACTTTTTCTTGAGTCGCCATCTAGTGGAGGTGTTTTGTGACTGCTTTCGTTTATTTTTTAAATATTTCCTCTCATTATCTTTAAAAAGTAAAATGCTGTTTGTTTGTATCGCTAAAACTCAAGAAAAACTGGGCTGGTTTAGCTGATTTTGGTTACGAAATGTTCGTCGTAGTCCAGGGAAGGTTTAAACGGTGAAAGGTAATCATCACCAAAGCACGTCGGGTCATCGAGTTAATAATATATAAGACTAGCTTTCGCCAGCGGCTTCGCCCGCGTGGTCTCTAGGGAAATATTTAGTAGGATGTAAAAGTATCCTATTATCTAAGTCAGCTAATATAGTTTTGGCGTGATTGACGGACAAACATCCAAACAAAGAAAATTCACATTTACAATATTAATAGGATTTATGAGCTTTTTTGCTAAATGTAATAAGTAAATCTTTGGTTGTGTTTTAACTTTTTTAACAGTTTCTTATTTTGCCTGCCTCACTAAGAAAAAATAAGTTTCTAGTAAGAAAGATATTTAACTTAAGCTATATTTAACCAAGCAACCCTGTTAAATCTGTTCTACAACCATGTAAATTCATAATAATTAAGTTTCATAAAAAATATGTGTGCCTGCAAATTTAAACAGCGGATACTGTTTTTTAGACAATAAGTGGAAATGTAACGTGGTAGAGGGATGATCGCGATGATATCTCAGTCTCTGTTTACCGGCACATGCTTATTTTATTTTATTATACAATAAACAAACCTTCATATCGATCTACTATGATCCTTTAATACGCTTGGGCGAGTAGACCGAGGCAAATATTTACCATGCGTGCCTAAATGTTTATCTCACTAGTCTTGAAATATGCTTCACGTGCTATAGTATCGCGGACAGTAGGAATGGTTTATCATAGTAAACAAGCGATACATAAGTATTTATAATTATTAAAATTGAGTATTATATTTTCAGATAGATGGATATTACTATTGTGAAGCATGTAATCGCATAATGCGATCTACATTCGAAGTAACTTCTCATATCATAGATGAAAAACATAAAGTGAATATTAAAACTCCTATTCCTGATACAGTGATAGATAACACAGTTTGTCGTTATGACAGCGGCTATGTCATAATTTCGAACGTAATTGTTTCTGATCTGCAGTGGAATTGTATATCCCTCAAAGAGTGTATGCTATGCCGTCAAAGTATTGTGCCGAGTATAATCAAGAATCATATATACTCTACCCCACATGTAATAAATCTTATACACTCTCGAATTTATAAAAATGAAGACAGCTACTATAGAAAGGTAAGATTTTTGTATTCCATATTTTTATGAGATGTGGCGATATTTTGGACTTCGGGTAATGCGAAACTAAATTCGGCACATGTGAAACAATTTTCAGTGTGTCTGAGACACTGGCTCGGTTATATCAAAGCTTTACTATGCGCAGATGGTGTCACGTACGACAATAATAAAAGGCGTGAAAATCATGAAAATTTACTTTTAATTAGTTTGATTATGACACAAAACAAAATATTATATATATAATAATCGTAACATATGCATAGATATATCCATATATAGGTATATATTAATTTAACAGTAATCTTCTCGGATTTCCTTAAAATTTATCTATGACAGTCATCGTTCTACGGTCGCCGTGGTGCATGCGATAGTGCTTAAAATAATCAATGCCTTTCTGACAGCAGGGTAAAAAATGTTGGCTTCGTTGAACAGATCAACTACTTCTATGTTCCTTAATTTATCATCTGATAAAGCCTTCTTCACCAATAAATTATGCCAAAGGTTCAGTTCTCCGGTGATATCCAGGTTATAAAATTCTTGGAATGATTCAGCATTCTAGAGTAAGTCTGTAATGCTGGTTTTGGTCATACACAAGGGATGTAGCTTACTTAAAGCAAACGCCGTAGTATTTTCTTAGGAGACGCGAATATTCAACGATGAAATGAGTGAATCGATGTATGGTATTATCAGGGAACGCCGCCAATATCCGTTATCATTGTCTGATGGCGGATTACCCTGCTAATGGCTGCCCCACCCTGCCCCTACCTGGGTACGCCCATGACACTATTTTTGCCGAGAAAATCGTGGTGAATGAGGAAATATTAAAAAAAAAACACACGCCACCTCCCCTAGATGGGGTCGCCCTAGATGGGATCTACTTTAAGCACCGATTTCACTACCCAATTTATCGGGCACGATTTATCGGCCTCGATTTAGGGCGGTTGGCGTGGTTGTGATTACACTGCACGAGATCGCCTCCCTAACTCAGTTGGCATCCAAACGTGGTGTTGAAAGGATGGCTCCTGCATTCATGAAGTACCAAAAAAATGGCATAGCCCTTACTTTAACTGCGAGCGTAAATAATAAAACAAAAAAAATTTTGGGTGAAAAAATATTTGCTTCTAAGAGACAAACTGTGCAGTTTGAAAGTTGTGTGTGAGTTTGTTAGACGCAGAGGATTTCAGAAATACCTCGGAATGAGTTCTGCATAATTTGATCATATATTAAACTTAGTTACACCTTATATAAAAAAACAAGATACGCTATTTAGAATTAGTGTAAGCACTAAACAACTGTTAGCTGTAACCTTAACATTTTTAGCAACGAGAAATGCACATCATGACTTAAAGTATAGCTCATTGATATCAGAACCCCTGCATCACAAATTATACCAGAAACATGTAGGGCTATCTATAAATGTTTAAAATATTATATAAAGTAAAGTAAAACTGTCATTTATTTATAATTTACATTTTTTTACAAAATTAAATGCCAGAAACACGTCTAAGATAAATATTCGAAACTTTTAGTGTTTTTTATTAAAAATTATATATTCTTGGATATTTATCGTTTTCCTTTTGAGAAGACATTTTTCCGTGTTCGCAAATAGGGTATTTGACACTATCGAAAATAAGTTGCATGTTGTGGTCATCCTGATAGATAATAATCTAATAAAGCTTATTTCTTAACATCTGCAGAAAACATGTTTAGATTTAGAAAAATAACGTTAAGAAAATGCAATATTTTTAGGAATTTATTCAACGACGAAAACATCTTATAATTGGTCGTCGTCACAACCAATCACGATTCTGTTTACTGGCCTGTGACGTCATCACCTGTCATGTCAAAATAGTGTTAGAAAGATACATAAAATATCGATGCCTGTAGGTATCGAGTACTTAACTAGTAGCGTAATAGTAATTAACTGATAACAGAATACTTTGCCGCTTCTACTGATAAGAACTGCCAAAAAGAAATACAGAAAGAAAGAATCATTTACTAAGCTTTTTAAAAATCCAAGAAATAGGGAAAACGCCTGAAATTTAAAAAAAGAGCAACATACATGCTTTTCTCATTTCATGAACTTTGATATAATAATTCAAAATTACAAAGTCGCTTTTGATGATATATACTGTTCCCCAAGTTAAAAATTAATTTAAATAAATCATCGGGTTCTGATATCTAATTATCAAATGCCATACATTTAGTGGACAGACATACTAACTACATACATGAATAAAAAAAATAGAACATTCTTTTTCGTACTAATGTCTCATCCATCTGTAGGTCGACAGGCTGTAAAGTGCGAGCCCTGTCAACAAATATTAATGAGTCGTAAAATGTTTATGACAAAGAAAAAACCAAAAAGAAAACGATATCGATATGAAATAAAAAAGTTTCAATACTTTTAGCGAATCCTTACCTAATTTTATTTCACCCATCTCTACTCTGGGTATGTTCCGATATACACTGCGAGCACTCCGCAGTGGTCTTACTGCTGAAAAGTCCGTTCCGTTATGGACTGCCAGTACACTGCTACAGTACTCTAGGGAAATTTATGACGTCATAAATTGCCGCCATATTTGTACTGTGAGCACTGGAGATTTCGAGGTAAGCTCGCAGTGCTTTTGATCACGCCATTAGTCGAAACAGAATCAGAAAATGATAATTTTCTAAATAAACAAAAAAAAAATACTTACGTTTATTTATAAGATGAATTTAATTGACAGATAATTTTTTTATACAATTTTCCAATTTTCTTTTGAAAAGAGGGAATCTTTATATTTATATTCACCTTGCATTGACAAATTTGAAAATGGCGCCAAAAATAGGATTAACAGTATACTGGACTGCGTTCCGTTTTAAAAAGTCACCAGTATAACTAGTTATAAAGGAACGGGCTTCCAGTATACTAAATTGACGTCATACTGTTCAGTGGTCGCAGTGTATATCGGAACATACCCTCTATATAGCTACTATACTATTGTGATTGTAAATCTATTTTCTTCTAGACTCGAAGTTTGTTTGTTATTTATAGAAGTATTAGTACATTGTGGCACTACGCACCACTTGGAGCTCATTTTTTAAAGAAAACCAGAGCAGAGGAAAATAAAAAACGTAAAAAATACGCACTAAGACTTCAATTTCTCTTCTAAATTATTATTTCAATTTACTCTTAAGACAGTTGTTACTTATCGATTTGACATATTTACTGGCCTGTGACGTCACGATCAGCGCCATTACATAGAGCAGCGTTTTTCGCGCGCTTTTGGCTATTTTAATTTTAAAAATTATTTTCACCTAAAATAGAAAAGATTCCAATGAAATATTATGACAGTGTGTTTATAATGTAGCAAACATCGATTTAAAATAGTTATTAGAAAAGAGTCAAATACCCTATTTCGCTAGTTGTCGTTCATTGACGTCTCACACGCACGCTGCGCAGCAATCGACTGAGCGCTCTGACACCCTAACAACTATGACATAATAAATCTGCCTTAACGAACTAAGGCGCCTATTACACTACCCAATCTATCGGGCACGATATATCGGCCGCGATTTAGGGCGGTTGGTGTCGTTGTGATTACACTGCACTAGATCGCCTCCCTAACTCAGTTGGCATGCAAACGTGGCGTTGAAAGGATGGCTCCTCCGCTCACAAAGTACCAAAAAATTGGCATAGCCCATACTTTAACTGCAGGCGTAAATAATAAAACAAAATGTTGGGTGAAAAATATTTGCTTCTAAGAGACCAACTAAGTTCAAACTGAACTTTGAACTGAAAGAGTTCTGCACAATTTGATCATATATTAAACTTAGTCATACCTTATATAGCGCAAAACAGCGGTTAGCTGTGCTGTAACCTTAAAATTTTTAGCAACGGGAAATGCATATCATGACTTAAAGTATAAATACTCAATAAGTTTATTGTTTTCATAGGTAATTTGAAATAATATTACATAATTAAGTTAGTCTCACTATGGACCCTATCGGGCACAACAATAATATAAAGTTTATTATAGCATTAGTTTTTATTATTGTAATTTATATAAAATTATAATTGTACCAGACACATGCAAAGGCTATCTAGAAATGTTTAAAACATTATATCATATTGATATACATATATACAAGAAAAAGTAATAATATTAAATTACACTTAATATTATTTCTTTTCCTTTTGAGAAGACATTTTCGTCTGTTCGCAAATTTCGTTGTCGTTCACTGACGTCTCACACGCACGCTGCGCAACAACCGACTGAGCGCTCTAACATCCTAACAGCGATCACATTACCCGATAAATCGGCCCTAACTCTCATCGGGCGATCGGGCGCCCACGTTCACCCGATATCGGGACCCTAACTCTCTAACTGCGATTAGACTACCCAATTTACAGTGTACCCGATGGATCGGGCCCGATAGATTGGGTAGTGTAATAATCGCCTAACTAGTGAGATCGGGCGGTCGGACACTCACGATTACCCGATATCGGGACCCTAATTCTCTAACAGCGTAACGCACTAACTAGTGAGATCGGGCGGTCGGACACTCACGATTACCCGATATCGGGACCCTAATTCTCTAACAGCGATTAGACTTCCCAATTTACAGTGTACCCGATAAATTGGGTAGTGAAATCGGTGCTTTAGTGCAACTTTAGTGTCATGAAACTGGATGATTACATATGCTAGACAAATTAATACAATGAAAGTTATGTTATACAACTAATGTAAATTCGACATAGGTATAGGTATGAGGTGAAATCACGGGCAATCTATGGTTCCCCCAAAGAGAATAAGGACACTTTTGTGTTAGACTTTTGTAACTCTATGCGCAATTTTTTTTTGCTCTCGTCTAAGCGTTGTTTGATTTAAATTTATTATCTGAAGACTAACACCAAGTCGTGAGCAGGAATCATCGCCATCTTTCATTAATTTCATTTTCATTTTACATGTAAAAATTAATTTATTTACTTGACATTGGCAGAATTGTGCGAAATGCGCAGATAAGCCATTAATTAAAAAAAGAAGAAGATTTATTATCTGTTAAGAATTGTGTTTTTTGTGTTTTCAGATCAATGATGATATATTTTACTGCTTCACCTGTAAAAATAACGTTTTATACAGAATGTTCGACGGTCACTGGACAGATGAGAAACATCTGATGAGCAAAAATTCTGTTATTGGTAAAGTTACTATGAGCAGTCTCGTCGATGAACAGGAAAAAAAGAAAGAGTTAGGCAAAAGACTCCTCGAAACTCAAAGGGCTCATTTTGATTTCAATAACGCAAGCGGAACTGCTGCTTGCAAAGATTGTAAGATCATAGTGAAACTAGAGTTCAAAACCATGTTAGATCATCATAAAAGTCATGGTGGTAGTAGTAGTAGTAAATCGGATGAAAAAAAAGATGAGGGTGTGCACCATAGCTCGGAAGACGAAGAGGAAGTAGAAGAAACCGTGTACAGCGAAGTGCAGGACCATGGAAAGCGTCGATCAGAATTGAAGAAGTATGGGCTGGAGCACTTTATACGCCTCAATCCAGGTGGAAGTAGGGGGTTTTGCAGTTTGTGTCATTCTATAATGTCCGCTAGTATAAGAGTCTTTAAAGAACATGTTAAAGGTGCATGTCATAAGGGTCATTTAGAATTAAAGGGACTTAGAAGGACAAAGGAGCATAAAGTACCTAAAACGAAACCAGTGCCAATTGTGGCATACTTTGAAATTATATTTTATTCGAAATCTCTTAGAGTAGTATGGATTAACAAAGAAATCTGTATAGATGTACCAGGTTTCCTTCTCATAGCACTACAGAAAAAAAGTTTTCCCCATTTGAAAGCTAAGTGCTTTGTATGTGATGTATTTTATCCCCCTGGTGAAGATGTTAAACATTATCAAACAGAAGAACATAAGAAACGTTTTTTAGCTGCTAAGGTTATTGAGAAGCCTGGTGAATTAATAAGAGAGGTATGCCATTATTTTATCTATTTACCACTAAAGGCATATTGCCTTAATGAACTTTAAACAGGATAAAATAGTTTATTTTCTAACTATGAAATGTCTAACTTATGCTGGTTCTTAAATAATTAATATATGCTAACGTTATAAATAGACAGGACTTTGATTGTTTGCAGGGAATTGGCTCCAAAGCGACTGGACTGATTATAAAAATTCTTTCACCTACAATAATTTACATGGGTGAAGTTGTAGGAAAACAGCTAGTCTTACTTAATATAAGTGCTTTACAATATAATTCATTCATTTACAGATTCGTCCTGATGTGTATCATTGTGCTGTTTGCAAGAAGGTTATACCATTTTGGGATGTAATGGAGCAACATTTAAATTCTCTAACTCATATTGAGAGAAAAAAGAGCTCTCGTTCAATTCAGGGCCTACTGATCCAGGCATACAAAGATGATATTCTTATTAAAAGCAGCAAGAATCCAGATGTGTTATATATACAATTGTTGAATTTGGGTTTGTTTTACTGCCTAAACAATTTAAAGGTTTAGTTATAAAAATAAAACTAATTTTCTTATTAGCATTTTTTATTTATTTCATAAATATTGTTTTATTAATTAAAATTGACTTATGAATAACATGTGAGATTGGTTGGCATACAAAACAACAACTGCTATCATTTATTAGTGCAGTGCACTCACTGTCATAAGTGAATTTTGGTTATGTGCACACTTAATGCTTTGAACACACTTACAAATAGTATAGTATACCTAATAACCGCTTAAATCTTAATTTTTTTGTTTGTTGGAACTGTTGTAGCTTGTATACTCTATAACAGACTTAAAAATAGTAAATTATCAATCTCAACATCTGTAATATGTTAGTCTATATGGGCTTTTAGATATGTGTATAAATATAGTATGTAAATAAGTAGTATGTTGGTCCTCATATTTGTTAAAAATGCAAAAGAGAATGCAATGCAACAAGTTCTTTGTTACCTAAGATTAAATATTTGTCAAGAAAGAAAAAAATGCAAGTTTTATAAAAATTTGTTCAATAGTTTCAAGATTTTACTTATTTTTTTTCAGGAGGTTGAAGATTTGACTGGGTTTAAATGCTATTGCAAAACAATAACAGTAACTGCTTAGTGTATATTCTATTTTAAAATTAATGCTAGTGTATTACTTTCTTAAAAAATATATTAAAACAAAATTTTAATAAAAAAGTGAACAACTTTTATCCCAATTGGGCATTAGCTTAGGCTTTTTCATATATATTAGGTATGGCTGTACATAAATACGTATACATTCTTACTCATTATAAAATGCTGCACAGTATATTATTTCAATTAAAATAATATTAATTCTAATCAGTCCATCTTAATTACTAATTTAAAATATGCAAAACTTAACTATCAACAGATTGTAAATCAACCTGTACAAAAAGGGTTACACAAAGTATTTAAAAAATATTAATATAATGTATGGCACATAAATTGAAAGACAATCAAATGTGACGAAATGCACTGTAGTGCATTTTCAGAACTCAATCACAGTGCAAGAGAGAGATGCAGTACTCAACCATAACATTGCAGAATACCAAAGACTGGAACCTATATGGAAATTCACTGTTTTCAATTCACATGTTACACATTATATCTGTCCCATATTATGTAAAATTGTACCTCATGCACTGAATATTATTAGGATTGATTATTTTGATTCAGTATTCTGAAAATAAATATCAAACCACTGTGGAAAATGTGATAATAACATAATAAAATCATATTCTGAATTATCACGAACATTTTGAAGATACTTAATGGTTGGTGTAATATAATCACATCTTAATGGTTCAGGCAATTCATTAATGTCAATATCAAGCAGAACAACAATATAATTAATATGTACAGGGTACAACACCGAAAAGGTGATTTTAGGGCACTGCACTTTAACTAAATTGACAAACGCTTTTATGAACAATTGTAATGTTGAATCAAAATTTGTCATTACAAATAAAAAGTTAAGAACACCACAACAGATCTGAAAACATTCAGAAGAAACCGCAGATCTTTTTATTAATTGGGTAAGATAATCATTGCTGTTTAACAAATTTCCTATATCAATGTTTCTATTCAATAAAATATTATGACAAGTTTGCAGTAAGAGCTTTTCAATTTCTGGTTTCATTTTAATAGAAATATCATCGTACATACCATTCACGTTATCAGTTTCCCAAAGAGTTTTCAGAATATTTATAACACTACTTTGATTTGTGTTTAGATGTACAATATCTTTTGATAATACTTCAAGATAAACACCATTTTCATTAAGATTAAGTAATGCTTTAACGATTTCCGGGTTAATGTTAGTTTCATGACGTGGATCAATTTGCAAGGACTTGAAATTCCTTATGAGAAAAGCATCTAGGTCTTTGTCAGTCGATTCTACAGCCGTCGATGCGAGTCGGTCGATATATAGTCCTGTAAGCATTTCTGTTAAACTTTCGTCAACTGGTAGATGTCCTTCAGACTCAGTAGTACACAATTTTCTTATATTCTCCAAAATCGAAATTCGCAAATTATTATTAATATTGCAATTCTCTTTAGCCAAGTCGAGAATTTTTACAAAGCTCTTGGATAACGCCTTTGCCACTTTTCTGTCTAAAAGAGGATTTGCAAACGTTAGCTGTGGACACCCGACACCGCTACTTTCGATGATCTTTTCTATTAATTGATTATTCATGATGGATAAAATTTGTAATTGAAGAGTCCCTCTTCAGACTTGTAACTTCCTCGTAAACAAATAAACAAAATACAAACACCACAGATTATATAGTTTTACAGATAGGAATCAACCACAGATTATTACAGACTTAGTAGGTAGGTCGTAGACAGAGTAACTAGTAGAACACAAGTAAACAACACTGACTTGTAAACAAATAGACCATATATTTAATGGTGTGCAGAATCGATTTTTCATATTATCAGTTGCTATCGATTATGATTTCTTAATCGACGATTAACCATTGATTATTTCTTAAAACGTTAAACAATAGGAATACTTTAAAACGTTAATATAGTAGGTACCTACTTACTTACTAAAGTAAGTAAACTTCGATGGCTCAGCAACTCATAGCGGATCGCAAGTGTGAATATTATAAGTAGATATTCTATTATTATGGCAACCCTGGAATACCCCCACGAACAAATAGGTAACATTACTCTTTGGTCGTGGAACTCCCGATGAATGAATGACCGGATTTTACAGTTTTATTTTAACAAATACTAATTAACCGTTTCTTACTAAATGCACATGTAACTATACACGGTACACAGTAACTATACCAAAATAATATTTTTTAGATTTTTTGTCTGTCTATATATTCCGGCTAAACTCTGAAATGGTTAGACCAATTTTGACGGGACTTTCACTAGCAGATAGCTTATGTAATAAGGAATTACTAAGGCTACTTTCCCCGCGGACGAAATCGCGGGTACAGCTAGTTTAATTCCGTAAAATTTGCACGCACAATGCTGTTATAGTAAACATTGTCTTATAATTTATTTTTAACTATTTTTCATCAAATTGGATGGCTTTAAAATACGGTAGAATTAATCCGAAATCATTGATGATTTGAAATCATCAAAAGTTTATTAATAAACTTTTGGGGTAATTTTTTGATTATTAATTGATTACGAGTAATACTGTAATCAATCTATAGATTTGTATAATAATCGAATCGGCACATCAATAAATAATAACTTTTTAAAATAGTTTTTTTTTTCAAAAAGGTTTTACCGTTCCTGTTCCTGCTTCCATGGCCTTCAGCTGTTCTTTAAAATAGATGTGACATTGACAGATAAACCAGTGACCAAAGCAAGTCTAGCGAAATCCCTAATAAAAATAAATTAAATGAAATTTGCATGGTAAATAATGGCGGACACTATAGAGTAACATATTTTTTTATTATTGGCATCAGCCTTTTTGGATTTCGCAGTAATCCAGTGTTTTTCTTAGTTTGTCTATGCTTCTTCAATACTTAGACTTAGTACTTATAACAGGACTTATAACTGCGACAAATGAGGAAGTATTGAAAAAAAAATTAGTTCCCGAAATCAAACTAGATGTCGCTACGGTACCTTCTTGATTTCTCCATGTTAACCTTTCCGGTTTTCTTTCATGTATAAAAGTAAATTAGTTTTCAAAAGTTCGTAAAAAACTCATATTCTATTTGTACTTTGTCTTTATTTGTATTGATATCTAAGTTTAGAATTTTTCAAATTTCAGTTTTTTAATATGTTAGTTAAAAGGAACAGAAATTACTGTCTTTGGTCCATTCGTTTAATGCAAAAATCAACTTTTGCTAGAGTCGCCATCTAGTGGCAGTGCTTTTTTGTGCTTTCGTTTTTTTTTTAATAGTTCCCATAGATAGTTTCTCATTGTAATAAGTATAAAAAAACATTAGTTCCCCAAAATTGAACTAGATGTCGTTAAGGTACTTTCTTAATTTCTCGATGACAATCCTTCCGGTTTTCTTTCATGTATAAAAGTAAATTAACTTTCTAAGCTCAATAAACAACAATATTTAACGTTCGAAATTTGCATTTGTAAATTTCAGTTTTTTTGTATGTTAGTTAAAAGGCTATCTTTGGTCCATTCGTTTCCTGCAAAAGTCTACTTTTGCTAGAGTCTCTATCTACTGAGGTACTTTTTTTTTAATACTTCCTCATTACAAAAATGATGTTTTTTTTACAGGAGCTTATCCGAACCGAGAAATATAGTGAAAACAAGGTCATTCCAACTGTCTAAAAGCTGGTAAGTTTCTAAAAAGCTGGTAAGTTTCTTTCGCTTGTTCTTCTTGTCAGCTAAAAGACGTCCTGAAAAAGTGGTAGCGGAAAAAAGTTTTTTGGACGATTCAAAAGTGCTTGTAATAGCCTACTTGAATAAAGATATTTTCTTTTCATTTCATTTCATTTCAACATAATGTCATTTCATTTTGCCACTTAAAAAAAATATCGCTAGTGAAAAATTGTAACTAAAATAACCTTAGTGGAAACATTAATATTTGAATGGTAACTGTTTTAAAATTTTAAGTTATTATATAATTACATCAATTTCGTTAAAATAATATTAAATTATTACAAAATGTAGTACTTATTATTGTCAAGGCTATTTGTTCACTTACCTTGTTTCTACTGGTATCTCTTTGAAGAATCATGATGGTGACTAAATTGGTATTATTGTTTCAATAGTTTTTTATACATTTCAATAGTTAAAATGGTGATAATATGTTATTTTCACGATTAAAGATGAAAATAACAACATTAAAATAAAGTTTCACGTTTCTAATTTCAATATTGACGGACTCCTATACAAATTTGCAACACTTATTTCACCCCTTTAAGGGTAAAATTTCTTTAAACGGTGAAGCAGCTGTTAACTCATTCTTTATTAGTAACCTAAAAAATATCCATATTTGTATCTTTTAAAGCTAACTGATCTCCATATAAACTTTCAACCCTTAATTTCAAGGGTTGAATTTCCAAAAATCCTCTCTTAGTGTAAACGACACATAAACTACACAAAATAAGAAAAATGCTGACCAAAGATCATGGGTCCAACTTCAACAGTTATAATAATAATAATAGCTTTATTTCTCAACACAAACAACATTACAAAAGGATGCACATTTTATTGTTAATTATTTATACGTTATTTGTGGGAGACTGGTGCCTGTTTAGGTTCAACCCCGTATTATAGGTCACCAGGCCAGTTTATGTTTGGCTATGATGAAGAACAAGCTATTTTTTAAATAAAGATTGATTAGCCTTCGGCCTGCGACGCCGTGCGCGTGATCTAGTTTTAGAAATGAGAAAATTCCATAAAAACTTGTCAAATTTGATAAACGTCAAATTTGTATGGGTAATGTCGCTTTTTTTTTTATTTTTGCAGAAATAATATATTTTATCTGAGACGAAAACGCCTTGTTGTTGTTGTAATTTTATATATTGCCACGCCGATGACGTCACACGCTAGTAAATATGACTTTTTTTTGACGATTGTAGTTTGATGAGGTTTGTTTATTTATTTGCTTGTGACGCCTTAAACGGCGTATGACGGAAACAGCGCTTATGACGCAGTTTCGGAAATTTTTAGCTTTGATTTTTATTGATAACTAGCTTTCGCCAGCGGCTTCGCCATCGTGGACCCTAGGGAAATGTTTAGTGGGATAAAAAGTATCCTATTATTTAAGTCAGCTAACACCCTATCTGTATACCAAATTTCATCAAAATCCGTTCAGTAGTTTCGGCGTGATTGACGTACAAACATCCAAACATCCAAACATCCAAACATCTAAACATCCAAACAAAGAAACTTTCACATTTATAATATTAATAGGATACAGTAGTAGTATTTCCCAGAAATTTTAATGCAATGTGCTTACTATGTAATAAAGAATAATTTAAATCGATTTTTTTAAATTAGTCAAATACCCATGTAATGAACCATCGATACGATCGATACGATTACATAAATATTACATTCACCTATATATGAGTTCCAATTATTATTCTTAATTAAATCTTCCAGGTAATATTATTATTAGCTCATCTTTAGAATAAGTGACCTCACATATTGAGTTGATATTATTTTTCATATATCGCACACCTAGATCTAAACTAAGACAACTCAAAAAACTAATTTGGAGGTCTGACAATACATATTTTGTTTACGTGGCAGGAGCGCGACCACTGTTGATTCAACAAAAGAAAATTAAAGCTATCTTGCGGCTCTTTCCTGAACTTTTTATTGAATCTGTTATGTTGGATAGATGCGTATGATCACCGAGCATTTGAATATTGTACTAAGTCAAAACTCACTCCAATTTTTGAGTTGTCTCAGTTTAGATCTAGGTGTGCGGTATGGTTCATGGTAATACGAGAGCGGTAAAATTATCTAAAATATCACCCACGCAATTTAATTTCTTTGAAATAATATGTCTTTTAAATAAAATACGTATTACCTATATGAATTTTACTATTACGAGTAAAATAATTATACACAATATTTTACAACAGGTTTTGTTTGGTCATTGTCATTTTATTTAGACAACAGAAATTCTTCGTTAGTTGCTTTATCCTTGTAATGGCTTGTAATCCTTGGTCACGTGACCAATCACTTAAATTAAATAAATATTAGACAACATAATGTACATATATTGGAAAGATAATCATATTGATGACCTCTGTAGCCGACTGACTCGTTCGCAGATTTCAAGGTGTCACAATCTCTGAGACTCAATTCCCGGTCAGATCAATATAAAAAATGAACCTATGTTGTCTCGGTCCATAATACATTTTATCTACTTTTTAAGGGTTTGGTACCCAAGGTTAAAAGGGGAACACTCTTACTAAGATTCGGCTTATTGTCTGTCTATCACCAGGCTGTATCTATCTCATAAAACGTGAAAATTTTCACAGATGATTACAGATGTATTTCAGTTGCCGCTTCAATAATAAATATTAAAAACCAGAATAAAATAAATATTAAATGGGCTCCCATACGACAAACGTGATTTTTGGCTCCCTTCACGGGCGAAACTTATTAGCACATGGCCGGTTTTTGGGATCTAAATAATATATGTGAAGTTGTCTAATATTTGATTATATTATTAAAGAATATGATATTATAAAAAAATGTCGCTTAAAGGTAGTTTTATTTAATGAGTAGTCAAAATAGAAAAATCAAATTTTCTAAAACATGATTTAAGACTAATACGACATTGTTACTTATATTTATATGGCGTTGTACAGAAATATGTCACTTATTATATTT